GCTTTATGGCCATTAAAATTACTGCTGAAATAATTAAACTGATAATTGTATTGAAGATCCCAGTACATGATGACTTACTTCTCTCTTGCTACTTTCAAAATTCTTTGTCTTTTGACAGATTATAACATGTCTTGGCATAAGTCTCTTTGAACCTATCCTACAGAGATTGTCAGGATTATTACATTTATAGAGTCATGTCTTTCAATAAATTTGGGTAGGTTTCAGCCATTATCTTCAGATTTTCCTCTATTTTTCATATGGGATTCCTGTAATGCCTATATTGGTTTGTTTGATGGTGGCTCACAAGTGGTTTAGACTCTATTAACTTTAATCTTTTTTCTTTCTGACAGATTTGATTCATTTCAATTGTCCTGCCATCAAGTTTGCCAATTTCTTCTTTTGCCTTATTAAATCTGGTGTTGAGTTCATCTGATAAATTTTTCAATTCAGATATAGTATTTTCAGATCCAGAATTTCTTTTTGATCCCTCTTTATAATTCTGTCTCTCTATTGGTATTCTCATTTTGTTCATATATAATTTGCCATTAAAAAAAATTCTGGTGTTTTTCTTTAGCTACTTGAGCATATTTAAGACAATTCCTTTGAAGTCTTTTCCTAGTAAGTCCAATGTCTATGCTTCTTCAGAGGTGGCTTCTGCCAACTTATATTCTTTTATTGAACTGGTCATGCTTCTTTGTATGCCATATAAGTTCTCCTGGTTGAAAATTTGCATTTGTAAAAACATACAGCTTTCCAAGTCTTTGTAGACTATTTTGGTGCCTGAGCAGTCTGCCACTGATCAGCTGGGCATGCTCTGAATCTAGGAATCAGCTGAGATAAAGGCTTAAGATCTTCTTAGAGCATGCATCTTGCCTGCACACTTCCTCAATTCTCTTGTCTTAATTTCTCAAGAGTCTCACCTCTGCTTCTCCCCATGATTTTAAATGGTCTATTGTATGTCTCCTCACATAATCTCTTGCTCTGGAGCTCTGCACATCTGTAGTATCATTGCAAATTTCACCATCAGTGAATGCCACTTTTCCCCATCTGAGATCTGTTGGGTGAGACAAAGACCAGGCCTTCAAGTAGCCCCCAGGCAGGTTAGAAAGCTGCAAATAAGGTCTGTTCTGCTCCCTCTAGTTTAAAGGAGGGAATTAAGAACTGAGTTTTTACCTTATCCAAAGCAAGAACACACCAAACCAGGAGTTGCTGGGACATGTCGGAGTAAAACACCAGTAAAGCTTCTATAATACCATTTTGAATGTGTTTTTTCCTTGACTGAGCATTTGCTTGGTTGCTATGGAATTTTGTATGCCTTCCAGGGTTCCTGCAAGCCAGTTTTCTGGTTCTTCTCTTATGTCTCTACAGGAGAACAATAGTTCTGAGCTTCCTGGTTCACTGTTTTGCTATTGATACATATTTTATGACCCAGAATATGGTCTACCTTGGTGAACATTCTATTCACTTGAAAATTATGTGCATTCTGCTGCTATTGTGCAGTGTTCTAGAAGTGTCATGTAAGTCAAGGTGATTAATAGTAGTGATAAAGTCTTCTATAATCTTGCTTTCTGTCCATTTATTCTATTAATAATAGAAAGATATGTATTAAAATATCTGACTTTAATTGTGGATTTATCTATTTTTACTTGCATTTCTATCAACTTTTTTTTTCCATTTATTTTTATTAGTTGGAGGCTAATTACTTTACATCATTGCAGTGGTTTTTGTCATACACTGAAATGAATTAGCCATGGATTTACATGTATTCCCCACCCCGGTCCCCCCTCCCACCTCCCTCTCCACCCGATTCCTCTGGGTCTTCCCAGTGCACCAGGCCTGAGCACTTGTCTCATGCACCCAACCCAAAGTTCTATCAACTTTTATTTCATGTATTTTGAAGTCCTGTTATATCCTCTTATTAAATTGATTTCTTTATGATTATGAAGTAAAACTTTATTATCCCTGGTAATATATTTGAGTCTTTTCAAAATATCCAATCTGATATTCTCTACCTTTTCATTGCAGTTTTTATATGCTTTACATTTAATATGATTATTTTTATGGCTAATGTTAAGTCTATCATCTTATTTGATTTGCATTTGTCTTATCAGTTTTTTTTTCCCCTTTTCTGCCTTCTTTTGGATTGAGTATTGTATTCATTTCCTAGGACTACTATAGAAAGTACTACAAATCAGCATACTTAAAATAATAGAATTTTTTTGGTCTCAATTTTGGAGTCTAGTCATCCAAAATCAAAGTGTCAGCAAGGTCATGTTCTCTCTGAAACCTGTAGGAGAGAATCCTTGCATCTTCTACCTTCTGATATTTTTCAGCAGTCCTTGGCTTTTAAATTCATTTCTCCAATCTCTGCCTCTATCATCACATGGTCATCTTCGCCCTGTGTGTCCTGTTCTTGTCCTCTAATAAGGACACCTGTAATATTGAATTAGGTCTCATCCTAATGATCTCAGCTTCAGTTGATTACATCTGAAAGATCTTATTTCCAAATAAGGTCACATTCACAGATATCAGGGGTTAGGATTTCAACATATCCTTTTGGGGGACACAATTCAACCCATAAGAAGTATTTTATATGACTCTCCTTTGTTAGCTTATTGATTACAACTATGCTTTATTAATTTTTTGATCGCTTTAGGATTTACTGTATACTTCTTTTTTACAGTCTGCCTTCAAAGGCCTTATAATACTTTATACTGCTTATAAAACATTTATAATTAAAGGCAGTAGTGTGTCAGGTACAGATGGGTTCTCAGCTTCAACAGTTGTTTACAGCTGGCATCTATTCCAATTGGTTGGTGCTGCATTGTTAAATATTTGAAGATTATCCCTGGATGGGCTCTGTTGACTGTAAAATAAAATAGCACTTCTAACTTGTAGGTACTCAGGCTAGGGGAAACAACCCTGAAGCAGAAGGAAAAGACAGTCAATAAATGAATAACTGGGTAAATTTAGCCCCTTCACCAGTTTCAATAAACAATCCAACTACCCACACTGTCGTGATGACGGTTCTGCTATTTAAGATCAGTGCTGTGAAAGAGGGACATTCTTGTGCAGTGTGCCATGGGTCATCATTCTCACAAAGCCATGTCCCCCTACAAAGGAGCAAAGTAATATTTTCTCATGTCATTTAAGGTGCTGTTAGCTGAAGACTTCTGGAATAATTTGATGAAACAGCTCAGTCATGTGACTTACAATCTGGGTGTTTTCCCTCCACACAACTATCCATGGGTCAGCAGCATCTCAAGGCTGCATGTGCATGGTGGTAGGGAGACTGATGACAGGATCTGGAATCAACAGCACCTGGAAAAACATGCTTCCTTGTCCAGATAGCCTGTTGCCTCTTAAAACTCACATAAGAGAAGCATGCTCTTTTCCTCAAGCCATAGTAAACATTCTGCCATATCTCATAGGCCCTTAGTGGTTTTGGCCAGCCCCAACCCAAGCCAGTCACTGTGAAAGGCAGGTGGCATTATCCCAGCTGGCTTAGATGGATCCATCTACCCCTGTTGCTGGGCCTGCCCTCCAAGCTGAATGATAGCCATTCAGCTGGAGAAGGATGGCCTGGATATTTCGGGGAAAACCTGAATTCATGAAAACTCCTTTAGGTTTATGTAGTATTTTCTCATTTAGAAATCAATTTTATAGAATTTAATTTTACTAATAAAAACAACACTTTTACCCTAAATGTATGTAAAAGATAAGGTCTAGGTAGGTGAGGAGTTATCAAAGCTATGTGCTTTTACACAGCAGAGTTTGGCAAAACAGTAAGTCTTTTACTCTTAAGGGATACAAACAAAGAGGAAGTCTAAGATTTTGAGACAGTTTGGTGTGCTGAAGGAAGGCTCAGCACTGTTTCAGGAATACAGTGTCTACATAAAAGAGGTGTCTGCTGCTCTTGCGGAAAGTCAAAAAAGACTGGGAAGCAGGAGGAGGGAGGACAGACAGATGATTTACACACTATTTGGGCCAATGGCCCTAGGGGAGGAAGATTATAGCTGTTAAAAAAAGGCATAGCAAGTAACATTCTGAGTTGCAAAGTGGCTGGGTCACTAACACACTACATTCTTGGTTGAACAAATGCAGCAGTTTATTTGAAGGTGCTTGTGTAAATGGAGCTGTGGTTTGAGGAATATCAGAGCCGTGGTTAGGAATTTGGGACTTCTGCAGGCTGTACCAGCACCTGCTAGCAGGCTCTGTAACCCACCCTGATGTGACCTGTCTGAGGCTATCTAGAGGAGGTCTACAGTTAGGGCCACATTTCTTGAGCTCACAATCCAGGGACAGTCTGTCAACAATTAATGTACTCTCAGCAAAGGTGTCCTCATTTATTATCTTCTCTTTTTCCCCTATCTAACCCCCTTCTCCCGACTACCACCCTTTTAAAAAACTTTTGGGAAGTCTCATTTTTGAATAAAATTCTTATATAACACAGTTAAAGAAAGGGCCCAACTTTAACCAGTTGACCAACTCCATCCTTGAGAAGTTCATACAATAAAACTGTAAAAAGTATCTTTTCTCAACCACCTACATAAATGTTCTCCTACTAGATTATACTCGTAAATCTCACATCTCTGTTATTAATCTTATTAAATACTTCCCCATTACCACCTACCAGGGAGATAGAAGGAACCAGATTTAAGAAATCTCCAAACACCTATAAATGATTGAAAAGTAATCACATGGACCTTCCATCCCTATCCTAGCAAATTCAGCTCCTATTACTGAGAAACCAGGTGGATGACCTTCAAGCCTCTTTCCCCTTGGACTGGGGACAGTTTCCAGGTAGCAGCAGCTGGGCCTGTGGTAAACAGGCCAGTGAAGAAGTCTCCCCGGACCTCCGTCTTTGATGATCCACAGAGTTCTTAACAACAAACACTGGAGCCTGGAATAGAACCTTCTTATAGTGCCCACGCATCACTGAACAGCCTCACTGGTCTGCTGACGGAACACAGGCTGCCAGGTCTCTGGCGGGCAGAGAAATGTCAGATCCCCAGATCCAACTGGGCAGCTCCTGGAAAGGCCACCAACAGAGTGACCGTCAGGGCTTACTGGGCAGCACCAAAACTAAGGGGAGCAGGTGCTATTCCATATTTGGAGAGAACATCAAGCTTATGGAAACAGAGAAGACCTACTCAATTCTGTCCTTCAACTGGAAAGAAGAGAATTTGCTGAAAAAGAAACTAAGTTTTCTAGACTCCATGAAGAAATATGAAGCTAATGCCTGGCTAATGGAGCAGAAAGCCTTCTACAAACGATGCCACTCAAAGCTCCGGAAGTCAGAACTGGCGCATGCCCGGTTGCTAGGCAACAAGGACTTGGTCAAAAGGCTAACCTCCAAGAATATGTTGTCCAACTACACCACCACCTTTGTGGATGAGAGTGAGGCAGCGGTGAAGTCGATAATCCAGAACAGAAGAGAGGGGGAGAAGAACAAAGTGCCCTTCAGACTTAGCCTAGACAAGGACAGACTCTACCCATCCATAGCTTCCAGGGCAACCTTAAAGGCAGACTCCAAGGATGAAAGTGAGAGGGCAACTGTAAATATAAGAGGGTCTCTCTCCAGAGGGGAGGGAAAACCAGCTCTAGTTTTGTCTTTAGAGTTTTTGGATAATCCAGAGCAGGTAGAAAAACAGAGAAAGCTCCCTGTTGACAGCAGGCCATCAGCTGGGGGAGACTTCCCTAGTAGGCCATCGAGCACTGGGCAGAGTCATCTCCAAGATCCAGCCATTGGCAGGAAATCAAAAGGCAAGTTTCTTAAGTACCTAATCTATGGAGACAGGAGTGGAGAGCATCCCAAGAAGAAAAGGTCAAGGCCCAGGAAGAACCCACCTGTCCCAGACGGTGTGCAAATGGACCAGGCACTGCCGACCCAGATTCAAATCAACCTAGGGCAGGAGTTTCTCACGAGTGAAAGAGCCCAGTATCTGGAGGCCAGAATCCAAAGTCTACCACAGCCCACATACTTTCAAGGTCACTCTTCTAACAGACCCTGGGAGAAAGGAACTGAAGGAGTAGTGCATGCTCCAGGAATCAGAACACAGGGTGCAGGAAGAGGGCCTGAAGAGATCGGAAAACAAACTGGAAGCAAGTCCATCACCAAAAACAAACGGCTTTTTCCCTAAGGCACCCTTCCCCTTTCCACCCCTCTGCCATTCAGCAACTTCTACTTAACACTTAACAAGAAAACTCTTACCCCTGACCTCAAGACTGCTCCGGAACTCACGGAGAAAATGCTTCTCCTCTTATATAAAACTGTGACGGCCAAGGCAGGATCTAACAGTATGAACATGGACCTGGGTCACACCTCGCCCTGCAGCCCTTCACGCGGAGACTCAGAGGCGCGCGCGCAGAGGAAGGGCAACGGGGCCGCGCCCGTGTCCGGAGCGCCGCGCGCGAGCCTTCGGGAAAATGCTTCTCCTCTTATATAAAACTGTGACGGCCAAGGCAGGATCTAACAGTATGAACATGGACCTGGGTCACACCTCGCCCTGCAGCCCTTCACGCGGAGACTCAGAGGCGCGCGCGCAGAGGAAGGGCAACGGGGCCGCGCCCGTGTCCGGAGCGCCGCGCGCGAGCCTTCGGGTTCGCGCCAGGAGCAGTGTCGAGGGAGAACACGCTGCTGCGAGACTTCCTGCCAGTAATGCTCTTACTGTAGGGAAAAAAAAGTGAACCACAGTGATTGCCGAACGTTAGCAAATCTGTTTCTTCGGTAGCTTGGGGAGGGAAGGAATAGGAAACTTGGTCTCACTTTTGACCTTTTTCAATAAAATCAAAGCGGTGTAAACTAGTCGACTTGAAAACTAGGAGAGATCTCTCTCACACACTCCCTCGGCGCCCTGTTCCCCAGCAGGCAGGCCCTACTGGGAGCCTCCCTACATTTAGTGAAGCGAAAAATGTTGAAACAAGAAAGAGGACTGATGGTGTGATAAGAACACCAAGTGGGAGGCAGAGGTTCTGCTTTCTAGCTTCATGAGTTCATATGAATGCAATGACCAGAGTAATCTTGGGCAAAACGCTTCACAGCTTGAGACCCGAGTTTCCTCACCTATAAAAAGAGGGTTGGAGAAGATGATCTTTTAGGTCATTTGTACCCCTGTACCTCTACAATACAGTTATTTTAACTTGTCACAAAAGCAGATGTTGGGTGGCTGCCCTGGAGCAAAACAACACATCTTCAGTTTTTTTGTCCTTCCAGTGGTCAGTCCAGTGGTTGGTTAACATTTCAAACTTTTTTCTGAGGTAATATAAGGAAGTTAAAGTCTTCATTATCAATTAGATGGTCATGAGGCAAATGTATAGAGAAGTGGCACCTTTACATTTAAATGAATAACGGTAAATATTTTAAAAATATTTTTTCTCTGTATTCCATAAGTATTTAAGTCCCACTATGACAGCAACCTAAGTGGAATTCATGTTGTACAGCATGTGGCTAAATAATTGCTGGGTTAATGTCACCTGAAATCAGATCTGCAGTCAGAGGCATCACTGCAGTGATGTGCACTGTCCCAAATGATTGCATCCACTTCATGTGGATTCATTATGAATTTTACTAATTTCTTCTATGAGTTACTGGCACACAAGTACTGAAAGCACGTAGGTGGTTGTGATGAAAGACAAAAAGCCACCCTTATATGAATCATGAGATTATAAGTGTGATTTTAGAGTGGGGGTGGGGATGAGGACCTTCAGTGGAGAGAACGAGGCTGTCTTAAAACTAAAGGTACTTAGGAAAACATGATTGTTTACTCACCACCTTCTTAGGGATACATGGCAAACTGGTTTCCCTCAATTGTTTTCCAAAACTAGTTCCATTCATAAGAGCAGTATAAGGTGGTACTGTTCCTGAACAGTGGGAAGGTGTGAGGAGTATCTGAATGCCAGAAAAGCTCTTCACATGCAGGAACAGCTTGGACACTACTTTTACTGGTAGCTTCTGTGGAGCTCTGGAAGTCCAATTGATAAATCGGGCTCTTTGGTTTTATAAGCATAATTTCATTTACATTCATTTGAAAAATATGTTCTGAACGCCAGGGTGAGGAAAACAGATACATTTCTACTCTCATAGAATTTAAGGAATGAGTTAGACAATAATGAAGTAAGCAAAATAATACCCTGTGAAAAGCGTTTTGGAAGTATGACTATTTTGGAGACTACAGTTTAAATTTGAAAAATACTTCAATCCTATTAAAAGTACATATTTAAGGCAAATGGTATTTTCTTTGGGTTTGGATACAAGATGCAAGCACACAGGGATAATTCTGAAATGCATTTTTAGGTAATGGGCTAACTTCCACCTGACAGGCCCAAGAATACACTTGCAGTTACGATGAGCCGGGATTCTCCTGCTGTCTCAGCTTGAAGCATTGGAGGTTATTTCCTGCCCTTGGTGATTATTTCCAGGGCAAGGCTGCCTTCTCAGTTGTCTCAGGAAACAGATCTGATCTCACTTACTGTGAACTTCTTGATTCACTGGTAAGGGGACCAAACCCAGCAGAGCTAGGCATTGATTTGCAAGTTAATATATATCACATCTCAACAGTTTTGAAGTATTTTCACTCAGCTGATATATCTTCCTGAGATGACAGTAAATAAACACACACACAATGTGGGCCCTTAAAAACCGTGGTAAGAATTAAGGTGGGGGAGGGTGTCAGCAAGGTGCAAAGGACAGCAGGGAAGAGGATGGGAAGGAGTTTCTGAGACACCCTGGTTTGTCGTGCAGCTTAATAAACTTTGTTTACATTCCGCTCTAGGCACTAGGGGCACAGCCATGAGCAAGACAAAGTTCCTGCCCTCATCAGGCTTGCTTTCTAGTGAAGCACAGGTGAAAATGAGCAAATACGTGAACTGCTTCTCATTTTTCTTACCTCTGAAATGCTAACATTTTCCAGGGACTCTGTCCATGTTCTTTCTTCCTCCCATTATTACCTTTCCCTGGTGACTACCTAAGGGTACATCTATGCTGAAAAACCATACATTTTAATCTTCTTTGTAGGCTTTTCTTTAAATTTGTATTTTTTTAACTGCCTCTGTACAATTCCACTTGTATATTTCTCAGACACTTCAACTGAAACATGACGCAACAGTATTAATGTTCCTTCCAAAACCTGTTTCTCTTCCCCGTAGATCCCACACCACCACCACCAACCCAGTCATGCAAATCAGAAAATGTGAGGCACCAGTCCCAGTCCCAAACATGTCTTAGAATGTCCCCTCCCTTCTATCCTCAGGCTGAGGATATAACTAGAATTAAGGCAATAATCTCCTAACGGGGCTTCCCTGGTGGCTCAGACGATAAAGAATCCACCCCCAGTGTTCTTGCCTGGAGAATCTCATGGACAGAGCAGCCTGGTGGGCTACAGTCCATGGTGTCACAACGAGCTGGACGTGACTGAATGACTTAGAAAAATCTCCTAAGTACAAAGATTGCATGACGCTTAGGTTCCTCCAATTCCATGTTATAAAATAAGATACAAAAAATGTAAACAAATTATCTTTGTATTTCAATATCTGCAAAACAAAGTTCAAAGTCTTTGGTATGGTCTACAAGGCCTTTCATGATCTGACCTGCCTTCCATTCCAATCCAGCCTTGATCCCTTTGAATCCGACACTCAGGCATACTAAACACCTTCTTGTCTGCCTATCCGCTAATCCTTCACCTCCTGTTTGGACAATTTTTGGATCTGAATTCTCTGTCCAAATTGTATTTTTATGTACTTCTATAACACTTAGTGGTTTCTTTTTTTTTTTAATTTTCCTGGTATTTTTTTTTTTTTCCATTTATTTTTATTAGTTGGAGGCTAATTACTTTACAACATTGCAGTGGTTTTTGTCATACATTGAAATGAATTAGCCATGGATTTACATGTATTCCCCATCCCGGTCCCCCTTCCCACCTCCCTCTTAGTGGTTTCTATGTATATCTGGCCCATTAGATTCAGTCTTCCTATAAAAAGACTCCTTGATTGAACAAAGTGGCTGTGAAACCAACCTGAAACCTCCAGCAAACCTGCGACATGATTAGCGTTCAATTGGTATATTCAGTTCAGCTCAGTTCAGTCACTCAATCGTGTCCATGGACCACAGCACGCCAGACCTCCCTGTCCATCACCAACCCCTGGGGTTTACCCAAACTCATGTCCATCAAGTCGGTGATGCCATCCAATCATCTCATCCTCTGTCGTCCCCTTCTCCTCCTGCCTTCAATCTTTCCCAGCATCAGGGTCTTTTCCAATGAGTCAGCTATTTGCATCACGTGTCCAAAGTATTGGAGTTTCAGCCTCAACATCAGTCCTTCCAATGAACACTCAGGACTGCTTAGCATTCAGTTTTCAATTGGTATTGAATTACCATTCAATTTGTATTGAATTGTATTTACCTGGTAAATGTTAGTAAACAGAAAATCTTCACACTTCAGTTGGAATAAGACTAGAAGCAGGTTTGAGATCTCCCTTGGAGATCTTTCTGTAGCACCATCCAAAGAGTACCTAAGTCCTTCCTAAAGGTCTACTAAATTATTTAGTAATGAGATTTACTAAATAATAAGGCACGTGTGTGACAGGAAGGAAGCGACTAAGGGTGACGGTGCTGCTGAACACAATTTTCTTCCTTTTGCTGGTCTGCTCTGGCTCTGGCTCTGTTTTTCCAGGAATGAAACCTCATGTATGTAGTTTTTCTGGTCACTTTCAGATAATAAGCAAAGCATCTGTTTTCTGGGTATTAGTGAAACATTAGAAATGCCACTGTCTCTCTTAACTGAAAATGCAGCTCTTGCTCAGAGCTGCTTCTGGGTGGGAGGCCTGAAGATAGGCTCTTTGTCATGTTACCTTCCTTCTCACTCAAAAGCTGTTTCTGGCCCTTTTGGAAGGAAGGAAATTAGAGAATATCCTGCCTTATCCTGTCGGTGCAACTGTCATTAAGATATTGAGCCTTCAGAGAGAGGTGGAAGTTAATGGCTTTCTTTCAGAAAGTAAACTCTTCAGGGAACCCCAAATGAGAGCCTCTGGCTTGGCTGGTCACTTCCAGTTTCTCCTCTTCTCACAGCTTCTATCTGAGGGTACTCAGATATTTGGTGTCTGGCTCCAGAGCAGGAAGCCCACTAGTGCAGGGTCAGATGGCCCATGACCTGTCTCTTACAGCGACATGTGGCCTACAGGAAATATACACTTCAGCCTCATCACAGCTATATGTGCCCTTTATTCAGCAATATTCTAAACAGAATTCTAGCAAACCAAACTCAGTAGCATATTAAAAGGTTTGTGTACCATGAACCTGCAGAACAATCCCAGGAATGGAGGGTTGGTACAACATACCAAAATCTATCGATATAGCCCTACTGATAGAATAAAGGACAAAAACTCATAACCATCTTAATAGAAGCAGATTAAGATCTTACAATGCAGGTGGATTCTTTACCAGCTGAGTCACCAGGGAAGCCCAGGAATACTGGAGTGGGTAGCATATCCCTTCTTCAGGGGATCTTCCTGACCCAGGAATTGAACCAGGGTCTCCTGCATTGCAGACAGATTCTTTACCAAGCTACCAGGGAAGCCCCAATAGAAGCAGAAGCATCTGACAAAATCCAATATCTTTTCCTGATAAAAACACTCAAACTAGGAAGAGAAGGACAATTTCCTCAACCTGAAGTATCTATGAAGAACTTACTGTTAGCATGACACTCAATGATGAAAAATTAAATGCCTTCCTTATAAATCAGTACTAAGATAAAGATGTCTATTCTTGCCACTTATATTCAATATTGTGCTAGAGGTGCTAGCCAGGGCACTTAGAAAAGAAAAAAGTATTTAGAGTGGAAGGGAAAAAGTAAAACTTTCTATTTGCAGATGTGTGATCTTGTATATAGAAAATACAAAAGAATCAAAAGTAAAACACATTTAGTTAGGAAAAGCCACATAAGATCAATAAAAGAAACTTTTCACTGCATTTCTATATGCTAGCAATGAATGATCCAAAAATGAAATTAAGAAAACAATTATGTTTAAAAGAATACAATACTTGGGAAAACATTTAACCAAAGAAATCAAGACTTGTACACTGAAATCTAAAAAAAAACAATAAAAAAATTAAAGACCTAAATAAATCCAAAGACATCCACGTTCATGAGTTGGAAAACTACATTGTCAAATTAGTCATATTCTCTAAATTTATTTATAGATTCAACACAATTCCTGTCAAAATTCTAGATGCCTATTTTGAAGAAACTGATAAGCTGACTCTAATATTCACACAGAACTGCAAGGGACCATCAGTAGCCAAAATGACCTTGAGAAAGAACAAAGTTGGAAGACTCAACATCCCTAATTCAAAAGTTGTATTTCAAAGGACACCATCATTAAAGTGAAAATACTATCCAAAGAATGGAATATTTGCAAATGACTTATCTGGTTAAGGGATTTGTATCAGAAAAAGGAATTGAATAATAAAGACAAATAACTGAATCAAAAAATAAGGAAAGTTTCTGAATAAATGTCTCTAAAGATGACCAAATGGCCAAAAGCATATGAAAAGATATTCAACATCATTAGTCACTCAGTTCAGTCACTCAGTCGTGTCTGACTCTGCGACCCCATGAATCGCAGCATGCCAGGCCTCCCTGTCCATCACCAACTCCCGGAGTTTAATCAAACTCATGTCCATCAAGTCAGTGACACCATCCAGCCATCTCATCCTCTGTCATCCCCTTCTCCTGCCCCCAATCCCTCCCAGCATCAGGGTCTTTTCCATTAAGTCAGCTCTTCGCATCAGGTGGCCAAAGTATGGGTTTCAGCTTCAGCATGAAGCTTCCAATGAACACCCAGGACTGATTTCCTTTAGGATGGACTGGTTGGATCTCCTTGCAGTCCAAGGGACTCTCAAGAGTCTTCTCCAACATCACAGCTCAAAAGCATCAATTCTTCAGTGCTCAGCTTTCTTCACAGTCCAACTCTCACATCCATACATGACCACTGGAAAAGCCATAGCCTTAACCAGACAGACCTTTGTTGGCAAAGTTATGTCTCTATTTTTTAATATGCTATCTAGGTTGGTCATAACTTTCCTTCCAAGGAGTAAGCATCTTTTAATTTCATGGCTGCAGTCACCATCTGCAGTGATTTTGGAGCCCCCCAAAAATAAAGTCTGCCACTGCTTCCACTGTTTCCCCATCTATTTCCCATGAAGTGATGGGACCAGATGCCATGATCTATTTTCCAAATGTTGAGCTTTAATCCAACTTATTCACTCTCCTCTTTCACTTTCATGAAGAGGCTTTTTAGTTCCTCTTCACTTTCTGCCATAAGGGTGGTGTTATCTGCATATCTGAGGTTACTTATTTTTCTCCTGGCAATCTTGATTCCAGCTTGTGCTTCTTCCAGCCCAGCATTTCTCATGATGTACTCTGCATATAAGTTAAATAAGCAGGGTGACAATATACAGCCTTGACATACTCCTTTTCCTATTTGGAACCAGTCTGTTGTTCCATGTCCAGTTCTAACTGTTGCTTCCTGGCCTGCATATAGGTTTCTCGAGAGGCAGGTCAGGTGGTGTGGTATTCCCATCTCTTTCAGAATTTTCCACAGTTTATTGTGATCCACACACTCAAAGGCTTTGGCATAGTCAATAAAGCAGAAATGGATGTTTTTCTGGACTCTCTTGCTTTGTTGAGGATCCAGTGGATGTTGGCAATTTGATCTCTGGTTCCTCTGCCTTTTCTAAAACCAGCTTGAACATCTGGAAGTTCATGGTTCACATATTGCTGAAGCCTGGCTTGGAGAATTTTGAGCATTACTTTACTAGCATGTGAGATAAGTGCAATTGTGTGGTAGTTTGAGCATTCTTAGGCATTGCCTTTCTTTGGGATTGGAATGAAAACTGACCTTTTCCAGTCCTGTGGCCACTGCTGAGTTTTCCAAATTTGCTGGCATACTGATTCACAGCATTCACAGGTAACTCACAGCATTACCTTTCAGGATTTGAAAGAGCTCAACTGGAATTCCATCACCTCCACTAGCTTTGTTCGTAGTGCACCTAAGGCCCACCTGACTTCACATTCCAGGCAAAATGGTTGTCTGAGGAGGCCTTACAAATAGCTGTGAAAAGAAGAGCAGCAAAAAGCAAAGGAGAAAAGGAAAGATATTCCCATTTGAATGTAGAGTTCCAAAGAATAGCAAGGAGAGATAAGAAAGCCTTCCTCAGTGATCAACGCAAAGAAATACAGGAAAACAACAGAATGGGAAAGACTAGAGATCTCTTCAAGAAAATTAGAGATACCAAGGGAACATTAGTCATTAGGAAAATGCAAATCAAAACCATGAGATACCACTTCACTCCCAATAGGAAGGCTAGACTCAAAATGTTGGCCAGGATGTGGAGAAATTAGAATTCACAAGATGCTTGCAAGAAAGTGCAACCACTTCAGAAAACAGTTGGCAGTTCCTTGAGAAGATTGGGCATATGACCCAGGAATTCACTATGTACATTACCAAAAGCAATGAAAGCTTATGTCCACATAAAAACCTGTAGTGTTCACGGCAGTAGTATTTATAATCAAAAGTTAAAACACACAACCATCTATCAAATGAATGAATAAAAATATGGTATATTGATACACTGAAATATTATTCATAAAATGAAGTACTGATACATGCTACAACACAGATGCACCTGTGTGTGATTCTATTTATATGGACTGTCCAAAATAGGGAAATCTACAGACAAGTAAGATTAGTGGTTAGGTCTTGGAAGGTGGGGAACGATAATCACTTCTAATGGATACAAGCATTTTTCCTTTTTTGCAGTGGTGAAGATGCTCTGGAATTATATAATGTGACACACAATTTTGTGACTATTCTAAAAGCCACTAATTGTACACTTTAAAGGAGTGAATTTTGGTATATGAATTACCCTAATTAAAAAGAAAAAATCAAAGAAAGCACCCCTCCGGCATTTTTAGATGAGGGTCAAATCCTGCAAAAGAAATTATTACAAACATCCTCAACCTCTCAATGAATTCCTTCTTCTGTCTTGCAACAGGTAGCACCTGTGTCTCAACTTCACTGTCTTGATAACCATCAGTGACATACACAGGCTTGAATATGCTAATCCAAGCCAAAGGAAGGGCAGAGCCAGACAGAATGAGACCGTGATCCAACTCTGAAGGCTGTGCCCTCAGTCACTGTGCACTGTTCACTGACACATGCCCATTGCATTTTCTGTGGCTGCTGGAGACTGAGATAGCCAGGATAATTAGTCCTGTTCTATGGTCCTGTCCAGCTGAATCTAAGAATCCCAACTGAAGGCTTGACTTGTAGCAGTAATTACAAGGTTCTGGCAAACCAGGCATTCATCATGGTAAGTGCTTCGCTTAGTATAGAAAACACAGCATTCAGCAAGGATAGCTCCTTGACATGTGAGGGTTTGGCAACAGCAGGATGATGTAAGACACCTGCTCCCATCTCCAGCGGGAGAGGAGTGTAGCCACAGAGGCTGACCACACAGAGGCTACAGGTTGCCAGAGCACATCCCCAAAAGTAGGACTGGGGAAGTCACACAGAAATCTTGCTTCCAAGGACTTGGTCCATTTCATCCTTTCCCTTTTAGTAATTTTCTTTTCACAGGCCGAAATGACAGAACCAGTTACTCACTTCCTCCAGGAACAAGTTCTTTAGCCACTAAATATTCAAATATTTTAAAATAAAATCTTTTGGGGGTAGGATGAGGAGGAGACAGGAGACAGAGGCTATCTTTGGTGCAAACTGATGTTTCATTGAATGGCAAGCCATCATTTTCAGTCATCCAGGTGGTGACTGACAAGGTACTGGAAAAATAGCGCTTGTCCTTTCAACAAAGTTATTACACAACTACTATATAGGACAGGAACGAAGATAAACAATCTTCCCCATGAACCTGCCCACATACCATGTAATGGTTATGGGGAAACAAAAATCCCAGTGACTCCTCATTGCTCAATGTGCATGTACTACCATGGAAGTTGCTATTAGGTTACAGAGACATTCTGGAGGTTGATGAATTCATGGGTGAGGGGCTTTTTAAAGTTTTGGCCTTTAAGGTTACTTGAGAAGTATGAAATTACGCACAGCATGATGATGTGGGTGGGGACGCAGGGAAAGATGCCTGCAACTGATGGTACAACTGGAAAGGCGGGGGGGGGGGGGGGGGGGGCTACAGAGGGCTGCGGATACCAGGCTTGCAGATTTTGTCAAAGGGGAACAAGTTTTGAAGCAAAGATATTTAAAATAACAAAACTGTGTTCTAGCAGAATGAGAAACATTGGAGAATACTAGCCAAGGTGAGTTAGGGGATCAGAAGCCGAAAGGAAGTATGATGGAGAGGGGGAAACAAGTGATACAAGCTGTGACAATTGAAGGGTGAGGGATTCTGAAGACTGGGTCAAAAGGGATGTTTTTAAGGAACAAACAATAAATGATAGGTAGAAACAAAAGTTTCATCTTGAAGTGTATTGATTTTAAGATACCAGAAAGATATTCTGGGGGTAGAGTCTGAGCAGAAGACACAGATTTGGAGAACAACCTTTTTGAGTGGTTGAGGTTTACCAGACAGAACTGGGCAAGTACAGGTCAGAATTTTAGAATTACAGTAGTATCCACCCTACTGAAAAAGAAACAGGGTAGCAGGTGAACCAAGTTCAGGGTACTGCCAAGGTTAAAGAGTTCTCACTGGCAACAGAGTTTCTCAAGAGGAGGCTCTAAGAATCTTTCAGGAGAGCTATTTTAGTGGCATAGCAAAAGTTAAGCATTTCTCACAGGGGCACATCTGCACCAAAATCGTCCTGCAATTGGTTAACGAATGCCAACTACTGGATATGAACAGTAAAGAAGGAAAAGGCCAAGGCTCTGCACTTCTCTCTCTGGACTCCCCAGGAAATTCTCCATACACTAACACTATAGGTAAAAGAAGGAAAGAGGAAGGAAAGTGCGTTTTGAATCCTCTATTGGCTCAGGGGAGGAGCAGGAATGTAAGAGATGGTCCTTAGAGGCTGGTGGAAGGTCATAAAAGGTAGCTGAGGTAAACAGGTTAAGGGGGTCATGACTACAGATGGAGTAGCCTTAGGAAGACTACCCTTCCTCTGAGTCTGCATGAAATTCTTGAGAAAACCCCTTAAAAGGGCCTGAAATCCCAGCACACTCATGTTCTTAAAGGAACAGAGTGATGGTGCCAAGTTACAGTCATCCTTCCTGTCTAGTAAGATGGATGTGTACCGATAGGGAAATGAATACCATCAGCAAGTTTTGTTTGAAGCTTGATTTCATGTATCTCCCTCCTAAGTTAGTATGTATCCAAAGTAAAGCTACAGAAATTGTTGTTGGAGTTTATCACACAATTAAGCAGAGCCCAGTAAAGTTTCGTCACAGGCTGTGACTTTATTGTATGCTTGAGATATTCTATAATGATGATATGTAGGAGAAACTGTGTATTTCATCTGGAAAACTCATTAGTTTTCGGTTTTTTATTTCCTCCAGAGTTTCCTGGTGATCTGGGAGAAAGAGTACTTTATAACACGACATCTGGCATAGAGGGAGTAACCACTGTAGTCAAAATTTCTATTTGTTCCCTCTTGCTTAAGATACTGTTCAGTGAAATTTTTGTAGACAGTAGTGGAAAGGAGGCAATGAGAAAAGAAGTGGTAATATGCCCAGGACAAACAGATACTGAGCAACTGACAGCAATTAGTCTGGACAACCAATGAACTTTTCTCTTAAAATATTTTCAAGGGTAGGTTTATTTTCAACTGTTTGTTAAAAGTCTTTTTGATATGAATTCTATACCTGATGATCTGTACTCCATGACCATTCAAAAACTTCACAAAGATGTGATTACAATTGGATAACTTCAATACTGTAGTGATAATAAAACTTGAGAACTGAAGAACACAAATTTCTTCACGAATTTATTATACAAAAAGCCCCCAGAGTATTTGATTTCTCGTATTCTTTCATTATACACAAGAAGCACAGGAATGAAAGGCCTTTTACGGTGACTGTAGTAGCATGAGGGTCCCTTGAATCAAGGTAGTGTACATACTTTTTAACAGTGTTCTCAAGGCTGGCCCAGAAAAACCCCATGTTACCTTATCACAATATGGAAAGCAATGTTTTCTTTTTCCACTAAATTATGGTGAAAATGTCACTGTTTTATTTAGCCTTATGGTACATAACAGTTAAGTCTCAATTACTAAAAGAACTAAAATAATTCTGAAAGACATCCTCTTTCCCCTTCCAATGATTGAAAGCTGTATTTTTCCTGCCAATTTCAAACAAATCATCAAACTAATCTGTCACGGTCAGTTAAAACAATCGAGGTACAAGCTCAGCACATTAGCTGTAACTTGTAGTAAAAGGATATATCAACATGTCTCTCCTCAGTTAAAAATACATGATCCTTTTATTTTATATTGCAATAAAAGAAAGAAACATCACAGACACAGAAGACTAGAAAGGGGAAACTACTTACTTCTGCATGTCTAGTAATTTAAATCTACCTGTACTTTTCCACAGTATGTGAAAGTAGTATTTAACACTTTTTGAAATAAACTTTAATCTTTGGGGACAGATGAAGTAAATAGGACTTAAGAGTAACAGTTCCATTCATTTCCAAGTCTCTGCTTACTGTATGATTAGGTAAAACAAGGCACAATAGCAATTCTTTCACTATGTCCCAACACTGATCATGTGCCTTGATAAAACGGCTGACTGGGTAAGCTGACGACGACAAGAAGGGAAGACTCTGGATTGTCTATTTAACTGTGGTCGATAGGAGGTGATAAAAAAGTTAAGTGCACTTTCACATGCTTTCCGCTTATAATAAACAACAAACTTCTTATCTTTCTTGCAAAGGGTTTGACTATCATTTCTTTTGGCCAATATGCACTTTTCCCCAATAAACTTAAAACAACAACAACAAATCCCTGTCCTTCCATATACTAAGAAGGAGCATTAGCTACTGAAAACAGTTCATTGCAAGACACATGAAGACAACATACTGTGGCATGAGTTGTTTTTAATTTGTTGTGCTGTTACTAAAGTAAAGTTCTGAGGGCTGCAGTTAAACATTCCAAGTTCTCCCTTCCATCTTTATTGATTTTAAGATTTTTGCACAGAAAACTCTTTGGGGACTAGAACAGCAGCAATTGCATCACACTGTTTTAAAACTTCAAGTTTCAAAAGCAAATTGTTTAAAAAAAATACAGCTCCTGATTTGAGTTAGATACAGGGACAAAAAAAATAGCACATACTTGAAGGTTACATGGTCTACAAATGGTGGCAATATTTTCCTTGGGAGGGTAGTTTGTTGGTATATATTTTTAAATATGCAAAAAGGCTCAACCTCAAGCAGTAATAAACACAAGCAAAAGTGATTTAACCCTTAAAATAAATATTCAGAAAACCTCTCTGTACATACAAGTGAAAGAATAAGTAACACTTTCACGCAAAAAAAAAAAATAATAATAATAAAGGATTTGTTCATATAAGTAGCTGAAATCTGCTGTTCCAGCCCATATATCCCCAATAAAGAAGGGAGGCACAGACATAGGTGACTACTGTGGTTCACTATTTAACAGCCTTTTTGTACTGGGACACTATCACCACCAATTTTATCCCTCTTGTTATACTTATTAAAATTTTAAATTTCTTTTTCTTTTTTTCTTTTTCTTCCCATTTTTAATTTTTTTTACAGCATGCCAAATCCTTTGGCATAAGTGATGGCCTTCAACAATCTCTCTTTAAGTTTTTCTTTGCTTGAATATTCCGGAAGTAAAAGGACATTAAAGCAAGTATGAGATGTAGGTAACCTATATAGAGAGAAAGGGGAAAAAACAGGAAAATAAGTCATGGGAAATATGCTCAGTACTAAATGATCCTACTTTAGATGGTACATACGTTGAGATGGTTTGCAAAGCACACTACACATTAATGCAAGTCATAAAGATAAACTTCATGATTTTGCCACACAGCTACCAAACAGCAGTTTGTCTTTACCTCATAAATTACTCAGTGCTAATAACAATGATGGTTGATGATAACATATTACATCCACGAAGTTATTACCACATACTAGATACTGTTTTAATAGGTTCTTAATCCTGAGAGCTCATTTAACTAAATTTTCTCACAATAACCCTACAGACTGTCAGTTTCCCCACTGTAGAGTTGAAATCAATAGTAACATTAAGTGGAGACAATACTCAGATCTCAGTTTCAAAATTTCAATCTGGGCCTTGCTTATCTGAAATACTCCCAGATGACTATGTAATTGATTTGATAATAAATAAATTTACATTAATATCAAATAATATAGATAATACTAAATAATATTAAATAATGTAGAATACTAGAAGAAATGTTTCTATACATTTAAATTATTAAATATACTACTGCTCACATATGGCCACTACACACCAAATGTTAACTTGCACAATAGAGGAAACAGGATTAATATAAGGACACTGAAATTGATGGTTCTAGCATAATCTAGGGCTGAACAATCTTGTGAACTTCAACTTGACCATTCTAAATAGATGACATAATGTGGCTTTCAATTAAAAAATTCTCAATCAAAAACTTTAAAAATCATACCAATTTGTAAAATTTCAAATCAAGTGAACTCTGTAATTTTTAACCTGCCCAGTGTTTAAAATTTCTCTTGAACATTAACAGCAAAGTACTGGCTAAACTAACATTTTATGTGATTTGGAAATTTCTATTAAAAACTGCAAATGTGCTCAGAAGCTTCTGGATAGATCACACATGTGTAATAATATGGAAGCCAAGGTTTTCAGTATATAGTCACAATTTAATAATTACCTTTCTGTGTCTGGACCATTTTTGGCTATTATCATCTTCAATTTTCCTAGTCCGCCCACAGGTGCCCTGTCTGTGCCTGTTGTAAACTGCAAGAAGAGTCTTTTCTGCTCATCTGTAAATGAATGAACAATTTCCCAGAACTCCCTGAGAAAAGATAAAATACCAATTTTAGTTTGGCATTCATTATTGCTAGCACTAATTTAAGTTTGTGATTTGCATTAAAACCATAATAGGAGATAACTTGGAGGTCAATATCAAGGGCCTGAAGGTTCTTTTCTGGGGATCTAGGACCTAGGACTTCCACTCATGCAAATTTAAGAAAACTATTTTCAAAACTATAAAAGCTTCTGTTCATCGCTACATTATCTGCAACAGTAAAAACTGGCAACAAAAGGAAACAATTACATCAACTGTAAATATATAGTTAGTAAGAAACAAAAGACATAAGGCAAAACCAAAATCCTGTGAACTGAAGATGACAGCTATGTCCTTTGTCTACTCATGCCTTATGCAACTTCAAGGGGAGATCAGATACAGTGTAGGAACAAAGGAAAATACCTAAAAATACTCATACAGAAGTACACAATTTTTACATAAACTAGAATACTTTTATCAATAGTATGTGTGCTGTGGAAGGGGAACTGGGGGTTATTCTGATATATGTATCATATGCAATTATACTGAGAATAATTTAATCCCTGGCATTCCTAAAACCTATGTAATAGAAGTCACATTATAATGATGCTTGTTAAATTTACTCTAAAAACAAAATGCAAGTTCATTAAGAGCAATCTTGAAAAAGAGCAATTGAAATCTATACTTTCAATAATAAAGTATCCATAAATTTAACATATACAGTTTCAGGTATACATACGCATATATCCATCCTTTCTCAGATTCTTTTCTCATGATACTATGAAATACTGAGTGGAGTTCCCTGTGTCATATGGTAGGTCCCTGTTGATTCTCTCTTTAATACACAGTGTGTGTATGTTAATCCCAAATTCCTGAATTATCCCTTCCCCACCTTTCCCCTTTGGTAACCATTAAGCTTGTTTCAGTTGGTATGTTTCTGTATGGTAAATAAGTTCATTTGTATCATTTTCTTTTTTAGATTCCATATATAAATGATATATGATGTATCTTTCTCTGATTTACTTAAGTGTGATCATCTCCAGGTCCATCCATGTTGCTGCAAATGACATCATTTCATCCTTTTTATGGTTGAGTAATATTCTTGTGTGTGTGTGTGTGTGTGTGTGTGTGTGTGTGTGTGTATCGTATCTTCTTTATCCATTTCCTCTCTCAATGGACATTTCTTGGCTATTGTAAATAGTGCTGCCAAGAATACCGTGGTGCACACATCCTTTTGAATTATGGTTATCTCTGGATTTATGCCCAGGAGTGTGATTGCTGGATCATATGGCAGCTCTACTTTTAGTTTTTTAAGGAACCTCCATACTGTCTTCCATAGGGGCTATAACTATTTACATTCCTATTAGCAGTGTAGGAGAGTTCCTTTTTCTCCACATACTAGCATTTGTCTTTTGTAGATTTTTTGATGATTGCCATTCTAATCCGTGTGATGTGATACCTCATTATGGTTCCGATTTGCACTTCTCTAATAATTAGTGATGTTGACTAAAAGTCATGTGATTTTTGCCCATCTATATGTCTTCTCTGAAGAAATGTCTATTCAGATTCTGTCCATTTTCTGATCAGGCTGCTTTTTTGATACTGAGCTGCATGAGCTGTTTAGATATTTTGGATTAATTCTTTATTAGTCTTTTCTATTTGCAAATATTTTCTCCCATTATGTGGGTTGTCTTTTTGTTTTGCTTATGGTTTCCTTTGCTGGGGAAAGCTTTTTTTTTTTTTTAAATTAGGTCTCATTTGCTTCTTTTTGGTTTTATTTTCATTATCTCAAAAAGATATTGATGAAAGTTATGTCAAAGAGTGTTCTGCTTATGTTTTCCTCTAAGATTTTTATAGTACATATCTTAAGTCTTTAATCTACTTTGAGTTTATTTTTGTGTATAGTTACAGAATATTCTAATTTCATTCTTTTACATGTAGCTGTCCCATTCTCCCAGTAACACTTATTGACAAGACCGTCTTTTCTGTACTACACTCCTGTCCCTCTGACACAGATTAACCGACCGCAGGTGTCTGTCTCTGGGCTTTCTGTTTCACTGACCTGTATTTCTGTTTCTGTCCCAATACCAACTATTTTGATTACTAAAGCTTTGGAGTCTGAGATCAGGAAGCCTGATTCCTTCAGCTGCAGTTTTGTTTCTCAGGACCACTTTGGCTATTCAGGGTCTGTTTCTCCAATACAAAGTTAAAAACTTTCGTTCTAGTTCTGTGAAAAATGCTGCTAGTAATCTGATAGGCAGGACTGAATAGAATCTGTAGATTACCTTGGGTAATATAGTTATTTTGACAACACTGAATCTTTCAGCCTAAGAATGTAGTATTCCTACCTGTTTGTGTCATCTTCAATTTCTTTCATCAGGATCTTACAGTTTTTAGAGTATAGGTGTTTCCTTAGATAGGTTTAGTACTAGGCATGTTACTTTTTCTGATGCAACAGTAAAACTGATTATTTCATTAATTTGTCTTTCTTGTCTTTCATTGTATTTCATTATATAACAATGCAAAAGATTTTTGTATATTAATTTTGTATCCTGCAACTTTACCAAATTCACTGATTAACTCTAGTAGTTTTCTGAGGAATGCATTTTAATATTTATTTGAAAGTGCTTTCCAGAATCTTGACAGAAAATGTCACACTTCCTACACACAGTTACAATTCTAGTTTTTGATACCCTAGTATTCCAGTATACAATTTCTCTTACCAAAATGTTGGTATTTCTGTTGGTGCAATGCCATTATTTCTAACATAGATTAGCAGCTTTATTAGAATTCTTGGCTCTCTCCAAAGTCTTGCCATTTCTCTTCCCTGACATTCTAATATCCTCCCCAAACCTCCCACCCATTTAGAGAAAACAACTTAAAAAGAAAATACAACAGGAACCTGAACATGGAACAGACAAGCACATCTCTCCGTTAGGAAGGAAACAAACCATACCACGGTTTAGGTTATTCCTTTTTGGGTGGCTGGCAAGGAAAAGCAAGTATGCAGTAACCCAGAGCCCTGTCAGGGCCAAAAAACCTCCTCACTCCTCAGGAGTGTTCTAAAGCCTAAATGAATCAGTCACATCTGAAGAGGCAGACCAACAGGTGCCCTTGAATAGAGGAGGCAGATGCTAAAGGAAGTAGCAGACCAGCAGTGGTTGTCGAGACAAAGTCAGCTGTTCCTCTGGCTCTTTCTAAAAAATTAGAACTTAAAACGTTAGGGTTACTATCAGTTTTTATAATGAAAATACGGAGAAAAATTCTTCTCTTCCTATTAAGCGTTGTGTTCTACATTAAAACTGTTTATATACACCTGAGCCCATACTAGCAGAGTACAGGAAGAGCTGTGTGGAAAAGTGGGGTATGCAGAACAACATGGGCTGAGGGTCACCCCAAAAGGGCAGGTAAGAGCACTGGTGACAGGACAGCCTGTTGGACCAAAACGGCAATGTCACAATGACATCGTGCCTGACCGGGGCAGGAGGCACCCTGGGAGACAGAAGCGTCCCTTGAGATTAGCTTCCGGCTGCACATGGATGAAAGCAGCTGACAAAAGTGGCCCGAGTTAAAGATTCTGCTAAAACTGCCAAATTCTTCACAGAAATTGTGACACTGTCTATGTCACAATGCCATTTCTCAATTAACAGGCAAACAGCTGAAATGAACAACACTGGGTTTGGAAAATTGTAGGAAAGGAGATATGCATGTATATTACCACTGGGAGTGCAAAATGTCACAATTTCTGTGGAGAATTTGGCAATATTCAGCAAAACTACATACTACATATCTACCATTTAGTTCAACAATCCCACTTTTAGCAGCAATTCCCAATTTGATGATGTTTGATGTTATGTATGGAATAATCCGTTACTGAAATAATTCACTGTGACCTCCAATAACAAAGAGCTGGAAATAACTACTGTGTCTATCTACACCACAGGACAGTACTGACCCATTCATTTTTTACTACTAAAGTAAAAGATGTAAATAGGACCTGGGGTCTCCTAATAAAACAGCCAAAATATCCAGCATACAATCCAAAATCACCTGTCAAGCCAAGAACTATGAAAATCACATGAAAGAAAGAAAATCAACCAATGTCAAACACTGGGATGAATAACATACTGCAACTGACAAGGATTTTAATGAGGTAATCATAAAAATTATTCTATAAGCAATTATAAGTGCTAGTGTTTCAAAACTGAAACACCAGCAACTTAAGTCTTAGCAAAATATTTAAGTTACAATTAAAAAAAGAGCCAGATGCAAACTACAGAACTGAAAAACACAGTAAGAGAAAAATACTAGATGGATTCAATAGTAGAGTCAAGATGACTGAGGATCAAAACCTGAGCAAGAGAGAAAACAGACTGAAGAAACTAAGAGCCTAGGTACACACGGAACAGTGACAGATGACTGAGCACTGGTATCATTAGAGGCATAGAAAGAATGAAAGAGAGTGGGACTGAAAGAGAATTTCAAGAAATAATGGCTAGGAACAGTCCAAGTTTGAAAAAAAACAGAAGCATACAGATTTAAGAAGAAACTTCAAACAGTATAAACAAAACTGCTCAGAAATAAAGTGGAAATCACCCTCTGACAAAGGAAAACTAAAAGAATTAGTCATTAGCAGATCTGCCTTTGAATACTAACTAAAGGAAGTGATAAAAGATGGATTCTGAGGCAGATGGAACAGAAAGAGCAGAAACGAAGGGACATACAACAGACTATAATTCTCCTCATGAATTTGATAAATTGGATTTGATGACTGATAGAAAAATTACAACATCACTGATACTCAAGACAATTGTATTTAAATGTGGGGAAAGTAACAGACTCAAATGGAAACGTTTCCATACCTCACTGGAAGAAATGTTGATACAAATACCAACAGCAACCATGAAGAACACTATACTAAGCAACACACACAAAAACAGAACACCAAAATCAAGAAGAAACCCTTAAAAATGTTCAAGTAACTAAGTAACCCACAAAAGGCAAAAAGACAACAAGGAACCATGACGAGCAAAGAAACAGAAAACAGATAGCAGACTTGAGTCCTACCATATCAATAATTACCCTGAATACAAATGGTCCAAACACAACAATTAAAGGCAAAGACTGACAGAGTAGATTAAAAAAATATGACTCAGCAATTTGTAAGAAACTCATTTCAAATTCAGAACATTGATAGGTTGAAAGAAAAAAGAAAAAGATATATCATGCAAACAAAGAGCAAAGCACAACAAATCAGTAATGGTTACATCATATCATATTCAGAGCAAAGAAAATCACAAGACATAAAGAGACCTTATATAATGGTGGAAGGATAGGGAAGGGGAGCCAAATTAGGAGTACGGGATTAACTACAAACAACTACAAGTAAACTAGATAAGCAACAAGGATTTACTATACTGCACAGGGAATTATATGGAAGCTTATAATAACATATAATGAAATATAATCTGCAAAAACACAACATGCTCTATACCTGAAACTAACACAACACTGCACATCAACTATAATTCAATAACATTTAAGAAACATTCACATACGATGTTAAGATAATATCTCAAGTAGGAATTATGTTATTCTAAAAGAAATAAAATTAAGACCTTAACTTAAAAAGTAATTTCTCCATAAAGAGCAGCACAAGATACCTTCAACTATTCTCAGAGAAACGTAAGATACCACAAAGTCATAACTATCTGTGATCAATAATATCACTAACAGAGATAATGCTGTGATAATACTGTGACTCACAAGTGAGGTTACCCTTTGCTGTTGTTATCCATGCTATTTCAACTCTTTTATAGTCACCTTTGAACTTCAAGTAAATAGCAGAACAGTAATTGCTAAAAGTAAATAATTTCACCACTGCCACTAGGAATGACCAAAGGTATGCTAAAGGGAGAAAATATCAATAATTTCACACAAACCAAAGTGAAAAATAAAACAAAGAGAAATAATAGAACATAAAATATTCATTTCTTGATACAAGTGATACTCATTATAGACTTCCTATACTTGAGTCTTAGAATGATAACCTTCAGAGACAACCTCCAGGAATGCTTCCTCACCTCACTCTACCAGTGACAGGCAAAAGGCATTTGTCCCTTTTTACCCCATCTCAGCAGGAGAGGAAGAAGCCAGTGTCTCTCAGGACTGGACAGTAGCAAAGAGAAGCAGATGGTACACAGCAGGAGCCAACTCCTTGAGAACAGTTAAGACTAGGAATCTCTCCTTCCTGTGAGAATCTGGAGCCAAGGTCTTCAAATTAAAATACAAATTCTAGTATGCACCTTGCTATGTAATAAGGATTAAATCAAAGAATATACCATTTCACACAAAAGGTGCCTCATACAGGGTAGGTAAGTAACATTCCCCAGAGTTCAAAAGAAAGGAGAAGTATTCAGAAGAGGCAGTTCTATCTTCATCATCATCTGTCACTAAACGCACTGCAACAGAATTACTAGGAATATTAGACACTTTATACCCCAGTGCAGAAGAAAACATGCCCCTTACATAAAACATTATTCAGGAAATAAATCACAAGATTAGCAGTAAGAACTGGTGATTATATTACAAATATACTTTTAATTTTATACATTGAGAATTTGTGAGTTTGCTTATTTGAGAAATAAAACCTGGAGGCAAAGGTCTAAAGCATAAAGCCTACACCCCTTTGGTGAATTTTAATTCTTCCTTTTAAGAATTAAGAACCTCACCTAATCACAACAGAGTCCCTGGTATAGCCACCGTCATATTCTGTAGTTTCTTCTAGTGCTTGGAAATCTAGATTCTGCAAATTCAAGAAAACACGTCTTAACATCTACACCACACCATTACAAACAATAGATCAACAGAAGATATTTCTGGAAACCCTTGCTTTCTTACCCGGCTTCCACATATAAGCAATTCAATTTCCTCTGGTCTGAATAAGTACTTTAAAGGAGATTCATTGGTCACCATATGAAAACCTCTCCGAAAAGCCTTGAATTGTTTTTCTACCGATTTATTGAGAATGTAGTCAGAATACAGATTGACAAATTCCTGCAGAAAACATTAACCACAAGAATGTCTTATGATGCGTAATACAACAAAATACAAGCTACTGGACTGCACAATGTTTTTATTTTCCCAAAGAAAACACAATCAAGAATATTTTTAAGAATTCAAAGTTTACACACACAAAGGAAAATACCTTTAACAACTTCACAGCTCTCTATAACAGACAATGTGTTAGTCACTCATTCATGTTTAACTCTTTGTGATCCCATGGACTGTACCTGGCCAGGCTCCTCTGTCCATGGGATTCTCCAGGCAGGAATACTGGAGTGGGTCACCATTCCCTTCTCCAAGGGATCTTCCTGACCCAGGGACTGAACCCAGGTCTCCCACACTGCAGGCAGATTCTTTACACTCTGAGCCACCAAAGAGGCCACATACATATAAGTTTCAACTTCTATATTAAACAAAACTAAATATAAAAGCTGGGCCTTGATACAATTTTAAAGTTCTCTCAATTAGGTCATGCAAACGCAAAAACATTTAAACCATTTATACATCAATTTATAAACGCTAACATTTTTAATAGAGTGGAATGTACTGGAAATGAGCAAACAAGGAAGTCTTTCATGTTTCCTATTCTAGAATATTTGGGAAGCTGCCTACTGTTCTCTGTTTCAAAATATCGGTGTTTCACTTGGTGAGCAAACTATTGTACCAAATAAAAAATGGAAGATATACTCTGTATCCCAACTTAATTAATATATTTTTTCAAAAATTGTATTAATATAAACATTCTTTTTAAAGCTTTTATATATATCATAATTTCCCTGGGTTGTATTCTGAGTTAGTCCCCCGTTTCCAGAGGCATACTTTTCTAATCAACAGAAAACACAAAACTGATTTCTTTAAAATATTTATTCTTCAGTACTTTTCAGATATTTATTTAAGGCATGTATATTTGTGTGTACATTAGAAGCAATTATTGACCATTTGGTTATAAGGACCTTCCCTAGTTCCTACCCCCTTACAGCCTCATATGAGAGACAGCCTTCTTCCTGCTTCACACCACAGCCACACCGAGCCAGGCACCATCTCCCACGCGGGGCCTCTTTCTTTAGGAGGGGTTCAGTGCCCAACCACGTGCTCTCATACCAGCCGTCAGTCAAGGTTTAAAGAACTGTGGCTATTTCATTTATAAGAACTTAGTTACTTGATTTCTTTGTACAGATGACATTGGAAACTTCTTTAAAAACTACAAGCATATGTGCTTTCCCCTGGAGGAGGGCATGGCAACCCACTCCAGTATTCTTGCCTGGAGAATCCAAAGGAAAGAGGAGCCTGGCAGGCTACAGTCCATAGGACCGCACAGAGTGGGACACAACTTGAAGCAGTGCATGCACAAACGCACACATATATGCTTTAAAATTCTGTTATTAAAGAGACAAAGACAAGGATGACATAAAAACATTTACTACCTTTCTGTTTTCATTGGTAATTGGAATTTTATCACCATTTTCCTTTAGATCATACATCATCGGATTACCAAAAAGATCTGTCTGAGATATCTGGAAAGTTATCATCATATCGTCTTCCACATTCCCTTCATACTCCAGTAAGTCTTTTAAACTCTGATATAGAACCTACCAATCAGAAATGGAAAAATTGAGGCTACCACAGAACTATAAAGTACAACAATTTGTATCACTCTTCTTGGGCAAAAGATTAAAAAAACAAACTAACAGTAAGAATTAAAGCACAAACATTACCCCTCTTCTAGTAGTTTCTATGCAGACATAAAGAAAGACAGTCAGTCACTGGTAACGCCTACCTCTGCTGAGAAACCCCACACCAGCTGCTTAGCTATGGGTCTCACACTGTCTCTAACGAGACCCTTAGAGGCATCTCAAGGGTAAGGAGGGGCTGGCTGCAGACACCAGAGCCCCTGACTAAGGACAGCTCTGACAACCCAACAATCTCATGATTCCATTAAAAAAAAATTGGAAACACTTTTCTACAGAATCAACCTTGCCTCTGCAAAGCTGACTTGCTTGTAACAAGTTCTCCTTCAAGTTTTTAAGTGTTTATGGCATTTCAGATAGATAATAAAACAAGTTTATCTTACTAGGTATAAATATTAACAAAGATTTCAAATCAAAGCTTTAAAAATTTTATATAAATTAAATTCTATATTTGCTTTTAAATAAAATTTAAAAGAATAAAAAATGACAAGACTTACAGGATGAGAGTCTCCCAAGTCAAGAAAAGTTCCTTTTTTCCCCATTAGCTTCCTGTAGACAACCATGGGAAAATGTACATCCAGTATACAGTTATTGTAAATAGCCAAACCCAGTACTATGCCAATCAGAGTGAACTGACCCTCAGTTTCAAAAGAGGATGGATTAAACCAGAACAACTTTGTAGATTCATCATATGTGAACATACCTGTAAGAAATGATTTTTTTAAATGCATTACTTTCATATTATATTAGACAGATGAACAAATAATTATACATATAAAATACAAAAATAAATATAAAATAATTATATTTTGCATTAGGGCTTTTTTCTGTTACATCAGGACTTGAGAAAACAAAGTTCAAATACACATGAATGCTACAAATTCTGTAGCATGTATTTAAAGTAATAAGCCACTCTGCTGGCATTTTCTAAATTAGGAAAACTGTTCATTAAATTCAAGTTCTCTAATCTTCTATTAACACAAATCAGAAATTAACTTGCATTCATATTTTCGCCACTGAATGGTTGAAAAATGCAAAAGAAAAAAAAGAATATTTTGAAAATGCTTCACTTATTAAAACATATTTAATCCATATGTACTGTTTTAAAAAACAATTTTGAATTTCATAGCAAAAAATCTTTATTCCTCCAAATTGCATAATGGTTCCATGAAGTTTTTCAAGCACCTTTTTAACAAAGATGCCAAGTACTTAAACTCAGGCAAACCTGATAAACTTAAGATTATGTCCAAAAGCCATTTAATACACACGTTAACTGTGAGTCAAAAAGTAAAACAAAACTAATTTGTAGTCTTCTTTCAATTTCACATGGTCTTCACTATTTATATCACTCATTTAAAATAAAAATAGGAATCATGCCATTACCATGGCAGACTTATCTCATTCCTCGCTTGTAAAGAAATATCTATGATAAAGGTTAAATGATATTTTAATTGAATTAACAATTTCATTTTACTGTAAAATGTTTTTCAGTTGCTACTGTGAAACTAAATGAAAATATTTTAAGAATTAAATCTAGGAAAGAGGGGGAAGTTCCAATAGAATAAACTTTAGAAATCAACATTTTTTTTAAGAAATCAAGCAGTTTTTAAGTTTTTTAAAAAGCTTTAAAAATGTTTCATTTTCATTTAGTTGAAATTAAATATAAAGGGAAATTTAAAGGGTCCCCTTGATCCTAAGAACATGAATTTAAGACATTTTTCTAATGCAACTTAATGTTCACAAAATAAAATTTTATAAATTACCTAATTTATACTTGAATCTCAGTTTATGTCCAACTTTTTTTTACAGGCAAAAATTATAAAATCTAGTGAAGTGCTAAAAACTTCATTTAATTATAAATATGGTATTAACTGGACCAGAACAGTTAAAAATAATTGTAGTTAATAAATCTGAAGAAATATCACAAATGTATGTGCTTAGACTCAAAAGCTATAAACTATAAATTAATGAGAATGTAAATTACACAGGTCACTACTCTCATCTTTGGGCTTGAAAGATGATAATCTTAAAAGTCCAACAGATTCCATTTGTGGTACATTTATCTTCAGGTCCCTACGAGAAAAGCTCCATATAAAGGGTGGCTCTTCTAAAATGTTCCTCTTTGATATTTCTATTGTCATCATTTTAATTGCTTCACTCTCAAGCACAATTGTTTAATGTATGTTTTTTCTTAAAAGTATTTCTGCATATAATGTAAATGTACTTTATAACTAAGGTTTAACATTTTTAGATACATAAAGACCTAGAGCTAAAGTTCACCAAAGATATGAAGCTTTTAAATTAATTTTCTATCTCAAAAACAGCACCAATTTATACATCTAAGTTTACTTTGAGCAAATTATATATAAATGATATAATCTTCAGATTATTAAAAAACATTAGCTAAAATACTAAGTCTTACCTTAACTATGTTTATGTCATGAAGTCAAAATGTCTACTTCCATTTATAAGCAGACTAACAACAAATACAGAAAAGGCAATTCAGTGCACAGACTGAGAGTCAACAGAAATGATGTGCATTATTCTATGCCACGTTCTTCACAATTGTGATGGTACCTTTAGAGGACTTCTTTTCCTCTAATTGTCATGAATTCGATTTTAAAAGTAAGCAACCCCAGTAACCAAGGTTTATACTGTAGAAATTAAATCAGATCAGAATTATCCAAGATATACTATCCAGGAAGCTGTTGTCTTTTTCCTGTTCTACTCTGCCAACTCTCATTATTTTGTCTATCAGTGAAAACCAAATTCTTCACTTTCAGACTGACATTTATAGATCAATCTCTCCCAAATCGTGTTCAATGAAAACTCTTCTGGAAAGCAAAAGCTACTAGATGTGGGATGGAAAAAGGTTTCTGGAGTCCAAAAAGTGTGAGAAAATATTATAATATTAAGCCTAAGAAATGCTGTAGGAAGTAAACCAAATTAATTTGCTATCAAGCAGTACACCCAAATTTTGAGCATGATACACTTGTGAGACATTCTCAACAGTCTTCAGACCATTATTCTATGAAACTCTTATCTCAGAAATGCTATGGGTGATGAGCATTTTAGATTGAAAAAGAGCAAAACATTTCTTCAACTGTTTTAATGTATTATTCTAAAATGCCTTCAATTTCTTTTACCTAAGAGATAATTTCCTATATTAAAATATTTTGCTAAGTAATCTAAATAAGAACTTGAATGAATGAGTGATGCAGGATCAATCCCAAAAGCCCACAAATTCAGTCATTATCTGTGATTCTAGTTAACTCATACCAAAATCTTCTGTTGCTCTTCATAATTGAAAATATTTGTAAACCTAGGTAAAGAAATTCTTAATTCAAAAAGATATGACACCATGATCACATCACTAAAATATTTACCAATATCTGGATTGAAGATTTCCTCCACAACCAGCTGAAAAAATTCTTTGGAAACACCTCCCTCATCAACTCCTTGTTCTCCTTCAAATTCCACATACAACTGTTTCTTCAAGTCTGCAGGATTTTCCATAGCGATCATCTCTAGCTAGTGAGTGGAACAAGTGGAAAGAAGATGAAAGCCAGTATTAGGATGAAAACAAAATAAAGTGTAGGGGTAGGAGCAAATAAAAGATAATGCTTTTGACATATTTTAAATTGAAACAGGAAGCAAACTGGTAAAAAGCCAGTAAAGGCAAAGATTTAGTCTCACAGATAATGGAAAAATAGGATAGAAAAGAAACTGGCATAGAATTCTAAAAGGGTTACTTTCTAACTAATGATTTGAAATGAAATCAGAATTCGATTTCCTGTTAATTATGTATATAACAAACCTGGGTTGTAAGATTAGGACATGGGGAAAGAAGTCAAGATAGCAAAAATGCCTCAAATTATTTCAGGAGAAACAAAGGCATACAGAAGTTGACTTAAAATTGTTGACTCGTAATTCTTTATTAGAATAGAAACTCAAGAATTAAGTCTATCTATTAAATCATAAAAAACAATTTCAATCAAGAAAAATACATTTAAGGAAGCAGTTTATGGTCTCTTAATAATACTTTAGTATAAATTACCATTTTAATGGATTAGAAACATTTTATATTCACTTTTTTGAAAGCAAATGAGGCATATATTTGCTGATATCCTTACTCTTAACTTCTTACTAACAGTTATCAAATCCTGGTTTCAACATTTCTTCTACTATAAATCTTTACCAAATGCCTTTTGTATCTAACAAATAATAGTGATTGCTCTCAGTTATTATGAAATTAATCACAAAATCAACACCGTATTCTAATGTGAAACATTTACACTGCAATTTGTCTTATGTATATGAAATTTACTAACAGCATGCCTGACTGATCATCCATCTTATTTGCCAAAGTGATTTTAAATTTGCCAAAATAGAATATATTTATTAAGGGTATTCAGATTTTTGCAACTATTACAACGAAAATTTTTAAAATGGTTTTGAGCAATGCAAATATCATCAGAGTAAGTATACTATAGTCAGTCCTAAAGTAATTAGTTTAAATAGCATCACTATTTTGACATTCTAATGTGTCTATAAAAAATAGTCTCATCAATTCAAGATTCAGGTCAGCTGCCCTAGGTCAATGTTTTTCAAGCTGCCAACTGCAATTCACTAGTGGGTAGCTCAATCCATTGAATGCAAACCAAATAAGTGAAAAAAATCAGAATGCATTACACAGTACTAGCATCTATTATTCTGTGAAATTTCTGTTTCAATTATACATACAGGCAAATATGCACAGGAGTAAGACATATCTTAGGGGTTGCAATCAAAAACATCTGAACAAAAGCCAAAATGATCTCCTGGAAATCTTCAACTGCAGGATTCTGATTCTGTGAATTTAGAATCTTTAAGGAATGTCTATTCTGTACAATAGTGGTCTGTAACACTTGCACAATCACTTTTATGCCAAGTTGCATTAAGATAATTTATTTTTGAGACAGTGTTGCTGTGGAAATATTAAGTTAAATACTCTGTATTTGTTCCAACTGTCACTTAATGTTAAGTTTTAACCTTTAAACTTTCACAAAGAACTCAGCTAAGCCTGTTTCCTCATCTGCAAAGAAAAAATATAACAGGCTAGTATTATTCCTACTGCAAAGTTGTGAAGGCTTAATAAGAAACAATGCATGAGAAAGAGTTCTAGAGCAGGTGATATTTTTAAGATAATGCATCATGTTGTTAACTTTTAAAACAATTTTGCAAGAGATAACTTGAAAAAAAAACAACAACAATTTTGCTCTTTTAACAAAAGGTTTTCAACTTGATTTTATAGCCATAGTCTCAAATTTTGAAACTAACTTAGGGGAAAAAAACAGCTCCAGTTGGAAATCTGTTTCAAGTCACTGGCTATAAAGAATTCCAAGGACTAAGTTACAATTATCATTTTAGCTCAAATGTGGTTTACCCACCAGGCCAATATTCCATATTGCCATGAAATCCACTGCTCATCTCCACCTGCCTACGTGTTATAGAAATGTATATCAGTGTTTATGTACACCTTTACAATACAAACAGGATTCTATCAATTACAAGGTATTTCAACATGGAAAAATATAATTACCTGTTATTTAATTATGTGTCCTCTGTCTCTTCCTCACTAGCATTTGTGACTGAGAGGTAACTCCATTATCAATGTAACTGATACTTTTTAACAGATTTGGTGTAGTTTCTAAGGATTCAGAGGGCTCTATTTTCCAGTCTTAGCTCTACCCAAGACACTTCATATAGACAAGTGAAGCAAATTAAACTTCACTCTTAATAACATATTAATGTCTCTCCATTTCCACCAATCTTCACTCTCCATCCCCCACCCTAAATGCCAAAAGAATTTAACGAAACATATTCAATTATTATGGTAATTGTAAAGTAAGGTCACTTTATCTGTTTCAGTTTTATTTGTAAAAATAAGCATACAAATATACTAATAAGTAAGTAAATGTATATGGAACACTGAGATAAATTCCCTGCAAAATTATTAATTTTATTAGTTCTCAAATGTTTTTTTCAGGCTTGGCTAAAAACTTAACTCAGCCATTAAAGAACAAAACTATTATGGCTTTAACAACGAAACAACATACAGCACTTAATATGTCAGGGCACTTTACATATATCAACTTATTTAATTTTCACAAGAACCTTATCAGGTTGTTAATATTATTAACCCCATTTTACAGAAGCATAACCTGAAGAAATGAGTTTCATAAACTTGTTCATTAGTCAGTAAGTGGTAGAACAGAGATTCCAGTTGAGGCAGCAAGCTCTTTACTATGCTCTATTCCTCCTCAATGACTAGCAGCAACCTTTTTAAAAATATTGAGTGATGTTTTTCTTCCTTATGCACTTCTGTATTTCTCTTTACATTAAGTATATATTACAATAAATATATATTATGAATCGATATATTCAAATGCAAATATTCATAAAAAGAAGGATTTGAAAAATAGATGGCAACTGGATTTACTGGCTGAAAATTTCCTATTATTATTTAGATTATCAGATATATAACATGGTTCTGTAAAATATGGTATCATTTATGACACAAATAGTCTATCTTTTACAAAAACTATGTTTGATTGTGGTAACAAACACAAAACATAAAATTTAGCAATAACTATTTTGATAAAGGTCATTACTAAGGGACTGCATTTATTTTTATTTCTCTTAAAACAAGCACTTCTATTTCATTATTCAATTACAAAAGACTTAAGAACTAAATGGCAAAGGTAAATTCCTTAATGTAGTAGACACATACCATTTAAAATTGAAATTTTTAAATCAAAAGCTACCTTGAATATTTGGATATTTGGAAATTGGAAGAAAATGTCAATGAACATTCTGAAAAGGAGAATTTATATGCATCCTTCATTTATTTTTACATACAGGTTTTCTTGTTGTCTAGTTACTAAGTTGTGTCCAACTCTTTTGTAACCCCATGAACTGTAGCCCACCTGGCTCCTCTGTCCATGGGATTTCCCAAGCAAGAATATTAGAGTGGGTAGCCATGTCCTTTTCTAGAAGATCTTCCCGACTCAGGGATCAAACCCACGTCTCTTGCATTAGATTCTTTACCACATCAAATTATCGACTAGAATAAGATTTTTAAATTATCCAGACACATTTAGTTTTTTCATTTCTCTATAAATTATATAGATGAAGTTGCTTTATCTTAACTATAAATGTTTGGGTAAGAGCCAAATATATAATCACATCTCCCTGTGTGAGACCAGGAACCGTTAGTTCTACTTACAATTCTGCCATTAATTTCTGTAGATCAGAATCTGAGTTTCATTTTCCTCACATGTAACACTTCATTTTCCTCACATGTAACACTAAAGAGTCTGACAAGTTTCACTGCTTTAAACTATTGTTTGGTGCTGAGAATCTACGTAGATCTACTTCATTCTCTTCTACTTAAAGGACATAAACCAAGCATAAAGTTCTTCAGCTAGAATCAACCTTAAGGAACTATAATGGCCACTGCACTGAGCACAGTATAGGGAATGGAGAGGATACAATTAAGTATACTGAAGGGCCACAGAGTAATCTCACTCCTAAAGGACGACCTAAAAGTAGTCAGTTGACAAGTAAAGAATCAAGTTTTGTTTCAACAATAATAAAGGGTGTCTATCAAGGAAAATGCTGGGGCTAGATTAGATAGTACCAGCAAAGTCAAAAGAAAAATAACAAAGAAAAAATGGGTGAGTGATTTTTAGAAGAGATTGAGCATGATCTCTCGGCAGTCCAGTCATTTGTCCTCATCAACTTTAATCTTTTTTGGACTCTCCTAACCAAATCTACATCTCCTGTTCAGATGTGAGGCGGTTTGGGGCACCTTACCGATGGTAATACTGTCTCCTACAATACTCATACCCTCATTCAATCTTTCATCTTCAACATGAAAGGTAATGAAAAAAATTTTTTAACATCCTCTTCCCTTGGAGATGCTTTGTCTAATAAAAAATGACAAATTACCTAAAAGATAACTTAAAAGAGCATACAAATAGGTAAATGTATTAGCAAAATACTGTAAATAACCTCACCACATTAGAACTGTTCTCATTCAAATTGAAAGCTGAGTTCTAAGCCTATTTTTCACTGTACTGGGACTTCCCTGGTGGCCCAGTGGTAAAGAATCTGCCTGCAATGCAGGAGATGTTGGGTTCTATCATGGGTTGGGTAGATGCCCTGGAGAAGGAAATAATAACCCACTCCATTCTTGTCTGGGAAATCCCATGGACTGCGGAGCCTGGTGGGCTACAGTCCATGGGGTCCCAGAAGAGCTAGACATGACTTGGCAACTAAATAACATCATCACTGTACTCTTTCCTAAGGAACAACAAAAAATAGCAAAAATAAGTTCCAGGGAGAAATATTCCACTAATTTAAGGGTGTAGGGGTAGTTCTTAAACAATCCTGATATCTATTTGTGGAAAGACTACTGATACATTATCATATTTCATTGATTCTTAAAATCTGCTTTTCTATTTTTATACTTTTATGTATCTGAAATCAGAATATAACATACAATTGATAGCATCTCAAAACTAAACTGGCAGCATTTTTTCTTTTTAATGGTAATAACAGTGTGCCCTACAACCAGTGAATTATATGTTAAGTTTGATAAAAATACTGTAAACACTAATAATACTCCTATTGTCATCAAGAATGTTGCTCCAAAAACTCCAGTTAAGGAACAATCTGCTACTCTTCTTTGAATTACATAGTACATGAAACCACTGAATACTATTTTTCTTTTAAAATAAAAAGTCTGTAATCAGTAAGTGAAGTTACTACCCCTCCTTTCAAGTAAGTCAGTCTTACAATTAATAACTGACAAATAAGATCCAACAGAAAACATAATAAGTGCCATATATGTAGTCACTAATTTCCAGGCCTCGTTTATAAACTAATGAGTAGACAGGTTTTAAGGCTTCTTTTAGCTCTTCAAAGTCTAAGACCTTATAACCTTAATTATTTAATTATGAATATTGAACCCACCACAAAGTTTCTCATCTCTTCTTCTTTTCCTGGCGGTACTCTGTAGTTCAAAATTAGCAGGTCGTAAGAAAGTGGTTGGGCTTCCAAGGTGGTGCTAGTAGTGGTAAAGTGTCTCCTACCAACGCAGGAGACATAAGAGACACGGGTTCGATTCCTGGGTCAGAAGGATCCCCCGGAGGGCATGGCAGCCCACTCCAGTATTCTAGCCTGGAGAATCCCATGGACAGAGGAGCCTGGTGGGCTACAGTCCACAGGGGCACACAGAGTCAGACACAACTGAAGCAACTTAGCATGCATGCACACAAGATAGTGGTCAATAGGTTTATTTTGCTTATCAAATTGTGATATAAAAAGATGAGGCTTAAAAAAGGCAAAGTAGGTCTTTGGGGAACAAGATGTTGAAAATCCATCAGTACTTTCTACAGTGTACCCTGAGAGGATCACCTTACACTACTTATATTACATCACCTGCTATGAACGTTCCCTCAACATCTGCAGATTATCAATTTGACTTCCATGATCTACTTTGATGCTTTAAAAAAATCTTTTCACACTGTTATGAAAGATGGAAAGAAGGAAGGGAGAGAAGTGAAGAGCGGAAGAAAATGAGACTAAAATCTGTTTAATGTGTGCCCCTAAGCTCCTCAGCAGTCATGATTCATCTTTACATCTTTACTGCTTAGCAAAGTGCCTCACACAAAGGGTTTCTGAAATGGTAATGTTCAAGTACAGATGTTACCCAGTGAACACTAATTAGCTTTGATATAATAAGCCAAACATATGGGGGAAAAAAAAACAATATGTTAGCATAATTTAAAAGCTCACAGTTAACTTTACTCTAACACTTGCTCAAAGGAAGTCCTTATAAACCAAAACGATTATTTGCTCAAAATTCTGGAGGTTAAATTTTAAAATAGAATAAAATAATTATACTAAGCACCTAAACTTTTGTAGGTCCTTAATCTTGCTTTACTGGGGTATCAGGGGAATGGGACAGGGGCAGAGAGAGAGTTTAGTAAGGCTCTCAGAAAGGCAGTTAGTAAGGCAGACAATTTTTTAAAACTCCGGATTGAGTCTTACAGAGTTAATCTCATTGCTCTTAAAGGTCAGGTATAGCTTTTGCTGGAAGCAGATAAAAGAATCGATCCCAAACCCCAAGAAGACAAACATAAAACATGTAGTTTAGGATTTGCTCTTCTAACAATGGAAATTCACAGACAGACCTCAACATGCTTTCTATAAAGCATCATCACTTCCTTATACAATATCCGACCATTCTGCTAAACTATAGAAAACCAGTTATTGAGTGCCTGAAGATCAGTTATTAAGTATAGTACGTTATTATTCGTGTAGCTCAAAACCACTAAAATAAAATGAAAAGGGCACCAGAAAGCAGCAATGGTAATTACTTCAAGCAACTATTGCCCTTTCCTGTCTCTGGTGAAAAACTGCCTGAGTTTCTTAAATAATGTAGAATCTTCCAACACTAGAAATATATTTGGTATTAAACACACACACAGTACCAGAGAAGTACAGAATTCTGCATCTTTTAAATTTCCAAGATGTCCAACAACTTTCCCCACTGATTTAGTTTTATAAATTCTCAGTTTTAAACAAATCTAATTCTAAAACTAAAGTACATTTTGAAATAAGTACCACTGCTTTATAGCTATCTGTGCTATGGACTCTTTTCCTTTATTAGTATATAAGATTGACTATATCTTAATTTTAGTTGCCATTAAATTTTACTTGAAGTTGATAAAATACAGCTAGCAATGCCAGGTATACCTAATAATATAATACAACAAAACTCTGTGATAAAGAACCCTCTGACAAATGTAAATGTTGGTACATGTGATTGGCAACTGGATTCTGTCTTCTAGTCAGCCTTATATTCTTAAATGAGGACACTAAATTTTTACTTTCTGTGGAGGTAAAGAATGAACAAAAAGCAACATTATCTGAAAGAGGGTACATGTATGCTCAGTATTCTCCCAGTTTAATCTCCCTAGATTGGAATGATGATACAGGCACCATTAATTATAAGATTCCTGGAACAGTTGTCTAAGGCCCTGCATAGTCCGTATGCACGTTGAAGTGGGAAGAAACTCTCACACCCAGCAGTGCCTCACAGGGATATTCAGGGCAACCCAGCAGCAACGCCCACGAGCAGCATGCTCCAACCTGCCCGGGTCACCTCATCTACCTCACATATTTTACACCATGGGATTTTTAGACACCACTTATATTTCATGGTGTGGTATTATCCTACCACTTCTCCCCATTAAGACTTGACATTCATACTTATTATCAGGTATCTCTCAAGTCCCCTTGTTTTGTGCTCTAGAACATCCACTTCTCTTCTGAATGAAAAAACTTCGGGGGTTAGTTGTCAAGATTTAGAAAATTTATTCTTTTTCAAAGAGAGAGTTACCATGATACAAGACAATCAATATTTTGTGGAACATTTATAAACTTGGACAGGTCAACAACAAAAGTATAGTACTTACAATAAAAAAAAATTCAATGTGTTCCTATACTATATAGTATCATATACATTCATCTACCTCCCCAAAAAGTCGCTTATAAAATTAATTCACTGAACTGTATCACAGCATGCCCATCATTAGGTACTGGATCTAGTACTAATTTTGAAACAGTAGCCCAACTTACCCGGACAAGTGCATCATCTATGATATGGTCACGTCTGACTTTGAGTCTCAAATATGGATTCAACTGCTGTCCTTGAACTAAGCTGTAGAGAACAGTAATTCTTCGTTCACTGTACATGCGAATTCTATTGTCATAATATAATCCCAAATTCTTTGTGACAGCATTCAGTATAAAGGGACATGTCATAAAAGAGAACTTGTTCTCTGTTTCTACTTTGAAAAAAGTATAATCTTTATCCATTTCTAGAACATCATTCAGTGGTTCATTAATAAACTCTTCAAAAGGGATAAGTGGTTTTCGACAATCCAGAGTTTTAACAGCAAGTTCAGTTTCCAGTGGGTCCACTCGAGGACCTTTCTTGTTTCTTCTTTCTTCTCCCAATAACTCCTGAAGTGTCAATTCACTGGACTCAGGAAGGGGCTCTTCATCATCTTCTTCATTATGATTTGTGTCTACCTCCCCTCCTACTACATTTGCATAGTAAACCATTTTCAAGCACTTGGAAGCAGCAACAATAGCATCATCATCGTTCACTAAATTTCGATTGTTAAAGTCAGTGCTTATGACTTTGTATGTAATAAGCTGCTGAAATGTTTCCATCATTCTCCGAATCTGGTCTGCACTGTATTTAGACCACAGTCTGACCAGTTTTCCTTGAGCTGCAAGGGGTAGCTTACTCATTGCTTTGCAAAATAGTGGCAAAGCCATTTCCAGATATTCAGGACTGTGGAGATTTCTATTCTCCATGACAATAATGAATAAATTCAGATAATTAGGATCTCGGGAGTATACATTGTGATACGTCAAATCACATTCCACATTAGGTGACAAATACACAAGTGCATTGAGAAAAGCAGTTTCTATTTTCTCATTAGAGAGCAATCTGGTGTAGACCCTTCTAATAGCCTCAATATCCACAGACACATCATCAGGGCCTAACTTTTGTAAGTTGTTATCTCCTTGTGAGCTGTCACTTATCCTTGAGGAAGATGCTTCTGAATCCTCCTCCATAGCTGCTGCGGAACATGCAGCCTTTTCCTTTTCGTCTTCATCTTTATCTTCATCCTTTCCTTGAAGAGATTTCAGTTCTTCCTTGGTGTGTTGTTTGACTTTCCGAAAGCTTTGTACCAATGCTTCAGCACTAGAAAAAACTCTTCCAATAACACGAATTAAAGGGGAATAATCCTCTCTCTCTCTACATAATTCAAGAATTTCATACACCATCTCTTCGGTTAGGTAAGTCACATCTAGAAAATCAGAAGAGAGAACATTTATTTTCATAACATATATACACGTTTGCTTTAATAAATTCTAGTGAAAAACAAAATAGCCAAATATTACCACTTGTGATTTACAACTTTTAAAAAGTATCTTGTTTCAATAAACAAAACATGCTTATCTTTTTTTTTCCAACGTACTAGTAACAGGAGTACAACCTTACTCATTCTTTTGTATTCTATATACACAGCTTTTAATGAGCTCAAACTCTTTTCACAATGATGGCATATATTAACATGCACCATTAACTGTAAATATGAATCAAGGATATCATGTGCTGACTCATCACATTCCTCACTGTAGACCAGAAACAACAGTGTATTTCTGAGAGGTTTCTCATTTCACTACTGTTTTCAAAAGACTAGGACTAAGGCAATGTTTTCAGAAAGGTTTCTTCAGAGTCTTCTTTTGGAAACAGCCCATGTCCTAAAACCAAACCAGTTCCTTTCTGAGTCTTCCTTATAGTTTTGTTTTGTTTTTTTTTTCCCCAGGGTGACCATTCTGTGGGTGACAGAGAAGAATTAATATATCACTAACCATACACTCTGAAGTTGACAGATACTGCCATATGCAGCCAAGTAATAGGCTGGAATAAATCTTACGCAGGAACAGTAAACAGTTACAGAGTAATTAAAAAACAGAGTGGGAAGAAGGCAACTTACAAGCAGACAAGAGAAACGCCACCGCTGCTGCTGCTGCTGCTGCTGCTGCTAAATCGCTCAGCCATGTCCGACTCTGTGCAACCCCATGGGCAGCAAGCAGCCCACCAGGCTCCTACGTCCACAGGATTCTCCAGGCAAGAACACTGGAGTAGGTTGCCATTTCCTTCTCCAAAACATACCACTAGTAGTCACCAAAATTTACTTCCTCTCCTTTCTGGGTACAGAGTTGGAAACATTCTCCTTTCCAGCTTTCTGAGATAAGTGCTACTTTCAGGCCAAGACTTTTCTCCTTCTGGCTAATGGGATGAAACTCCTAGGATGGCCCTGAGAATCGTGCTGAGGTTAACAGCTGCCAGTAAAGCTCCATCTCTGAATGACTGTGTGAAACAGAGCTCTGCCAATCCAGGATATTATGGTTGTTGGACGAGCTAGAAATAAATTTCCACTGTTTGTAATAAGATAACATTCTTTCTGGAGTCTACTTAGTATTGCAGTCTAGCTGATCCTTACAAGAAGCCTTTCACTTGCCCCACCGTGACTTCAGAGTGTTCAAAATACAAGTAATGATCATCTCCCCTAAACTGATGTTACCACTGTTTTTTCAGCTTGTAATATTTAAATCCATGGGAGTTTATTAAGATTTTCTATTATATCCATTCTTCCCTATAAAGAAATAATATCCTAAGGCAAAAATGACAGGAGGTCATGAAAGGCCAGACTGAAATCAACTTACTACACATTTTCAGAGTTACAATAATGCTAACAAGGTGAAATTCTAATGAAATCAAGGAAGAAATAAAAAAGGAGAGAACACTTCAAGGATTTTTTGAGATAAAAATATCTGGAGCAATGGATTGTTACAGACATGAAAAAGTTTGTTGCAGTTTGCTGGAATTCATTTTACTTCCCTCTGGTATCTGTCTTTAAATAATGTGGCTTAGGCCTACTTCTCAGCTTTTGCTATTAGACTTTTTATATCTGCCATTATCGTCTTTCAGAAAAACCAGACAACCCTATGACTCTCATTATCTTAAGGACAAAATTTAAATCTATATATATATTCCCTTGAGAGGAAGAGTTAAGTATGGAAGTTATGGAATGCATGAGTACTTAAGAGGAGTGCCACTGCCTGAGACACATTAGAAAAAGAAAATCTCCATGTGTTCCTTCTCGCACACTTTTCTTACACAAGAAAAAAATACAAACCCACACACAAAAATGAATCTTAACACATGATTTTCTAAAACTCCGAGTTCTCATCTTACTCAAATGTTGATTTATTTTGTGCAACTTAATCTGAGTTTTTATAGTGTTTGACCTTTTCAAAGAAGGTACTGAGGAAAACAATGTAAAACATTCAAACTCAAAAAGTAGTAAACTCCAATGCTTGGGAACATCATACAATACGCAGTGTGCTGACTTAACACCTCATATATCATAAAACTCCCATGAAATTCAACTAAGAAAAAAAAAACTAACAACTTTAAAATTAAAATTAACTAAAATTCACTCATTCCATGATCAATTATCAACTAAAAAAAAAACTCGGAAAAACCCATCCTATTATCTGAAATAAGCCTATATAATTACAAATTTTCACTACCAAAGCTGAGAAATATACCTCAGTAGCAGTACTTTTTCTGTTATGACTTGCATTTGTATCAGATAGTGTGTGCTCAGTCGTGTCTGACTCTTTACGATCCCATGGACTATAGGCCATCGGCCTCTGTCCATGGAATTTTCCAGGCAAGAAAACTGGAGTGGTTTGCCATTTCCTACTCCAGAAGTTCTCCCTAACCCTGCGATCGAACCCTGCACTGGCAGGCAGATTCTTTGCTACTGTGCCACTGGTAAAGCCCCAAAGTATAAAAGAAAATGTTTTAACAGTCAACAATTTATTGCATATTATAAGTACTTCAATAAAATAATACTTCAATAACAACAAATTATGGGATACAATAATAAATGTATTTTAAATGAAAGTACATAAGCAAAAGTGTTTCAATGCTATGGTCAAATAACTACATTAAATAAAAGGAATGAGTGAAAATAGTCTTTAAAACAGTAGAAAACCAAATTTCACTTTGCAAATCAATAGCAAAGAAAAGAATAAATACTCTGGGCAAAGATAATTAAAAAATGTGAAAGTTCCATGTATTTGTGTGTGTGTATTCTGATCCTTAATTATCATCAAACATGTCTGGCATTACTCAAAGTACTCAAATGTTTGACAGGTAAGATTAACCAATTACTAAAAGGATATGAAATATTTAATGACCAAACACAATATCTCATTCTAAACTAACAGAAGAAGGCCTATGTTTAATGCTGGCTAATACCCGAAGACTTTTGTGTCCTGAGCCATATCAATTTAGTTTGCATGGCTATATTAACTTACATTTTCTACTGTAATTACCTCTTAACTCCAAAGGAAGGACTAAAATCACTTCATGTCTGAAATGTGATCCTCTGAAACTGCTCTCTTCCCTTCAGGTCTCTAATACATCTGGGCAGACACTTTATGCTGGCTAACTCCAAATTCATTCACCAATCTTTATCAGGACATGCCATTATGAAAGAAACTGCAAAAACTAAACACTAGTATTCCAATTCTCACTTGCACTTGCAGGACCGATTTATGAAACAGGTCTGCAGACCTAAGTGGAAGTCTATCGGTAGACTTCTGAGGGTTTGCTTTCCTGATAAATGAGGCAAACATGACTAATTCATATTTTGAGTAGAAAAAAAAATCATTTATTTATCAGTAGATAAAATAAGCTAACTAGTATCACCATTTCAAATTATGAAAACAAAGACTATAGAGGTAACATCATAAAACTGTTAACAAATTAAAAAAAAAATGTGCTGTGATCAGTTGTGTCCAATTCTTTGGGACCCATGGACAGTAGCCCATCAGGCTCCTCTGTCCATGAAAATTTCCAGGCACGAATACTGGAATGGATTGCCATTTCCTACTGCAGGGGATCTTCTGACCCAGTGATCCAACCCATGTCTCCTATGTTTTCTGCATTGGCACGCAGATACTCTACCATTGCACCACCGGGGAACATTTCAAGACCACTTTTCATATTGGCTAGTAAAAGTTATCAAACTGTGGAAGAAATAAAAATGGAGCACTCCAAATAGTCTTCGTGATTTTGAGTACTCAGATATGTTTATAGGAAAGAGAACAAGTGATATATTTTGTTTATTAACTTAAAGAAGATATATTGGTAAAACAATGTTATTAATAAAAATCTTAATCTATCCCTTTAATCAAAAGAATGACAGCTTTGTCATCAAATACTTACGCAGAGGATAATTTAAGTCATGCAGCTAATTATTGTCATTATGACAAATGGACCCTTGTACTGTACAACGTATAAAATTTCTTAATGATTTTACCTCTACTTTTATATTTACTTTAGAGTAAAAGACATTTTAAAATGCAAATGATTAGTGAATGAACAGCTTCCAAATGCTGAACCATCAAAATACCAGATTTTATCACACCACAAATCTAATCTTTGGTCCTTAATACCAGACTGGCAACACATTCTTTTACAGCCACAACTCTTTAAGAACAAATGCTTAGGTTTGTTCTATTAAAAACACATAGGCATCTTCTTCTAAACTTCAACAATCTTCTCCTGGAAAGTGTGAAACTGCTAACTGGAGTGTATTTCCCATTATTTTAATTGGAAAAAAAATTACAACATGTTCTTTTAAGATAATGCAAAAAAATCCTAATTTCTTAATATGCAACCAATACATGGTAAGTAGCTATTATAAATAACTATCCAGTTAGGACATAGGACACTGTGCTTCCTAATCATCAAATCATAAAGTTGTTAACACTTTGCATGCCATAAACTTGGCCTATGTTATGGACAGCAATGTTCTAGAACCACACACCCTTTTGTTGACATGTCAAGCCCTTCAGAACATTTTCAAGTGTTTCTGACATTCTACTAATTCTGCATAAAAAGTACCAATATTTTATCCACAGTGTTCTGCTTAAAATGTTATGCTGAATCTTTCAGACATAAGAATAAATTAGTTAAAAAGACACTGCATTTTGAGATATAAAACATTCATAACATTTGGGTATCAATAAAATGAGGCATTTTACTGAGAAAACAATAATTGAGACATTTTTGTATGATATACATATATATTTTATGATATGTATATTTGAATAATACTCTTAATCTATACCATTATATACTTAAATTCTCATGCAAAATCAGAGTTTAGGGTAGACTACTCAATACCCCAAACTGAAACTAGAGCCAGCAAATATAATTAACACTCAAAAATACTAGTGGTGTTGATGCATTCATAATTCCTAGTAGAAACATATGATAGTAAATACAAATGTTGCCAAAAAAAGGGGATGGGAAGAAGAGTGTTGCAAACTGGAAGAACAAACTGCTAAATTATACAGATTTGAGCTTAAACAGTACAGGAAGACTGGGAAGAGGTACTCAGTAAGTACCTCTAAGATAAAGCACACAGCCAAAAAGAAGATGGGTACACCCATCCTGTATTATAACCCCCAATGGCTTGTTGCATTCAATTGTGACCGCACACACTACATTCATAGGAACTATTGTTCTCGTGACACACACTTACTGGGAAAACGCACATAATGTGGTGGTGGTTCAGTCGCTCAGTCATGTCTGACTCTTGCAACCCCACAGACCCGCCAGGCTGCTCGGTCCATGGGATTCTCCAGGCGAGAATACTGGAGTGGGTAGCCATTTCCTTCTCCAGGGCATCTTCCCCACCCAGGAATCAAATCCAGGTCTCCTGCATTGCAGGCAGATTCTTTACTGACTAAGCTATGTGGGAAGTCCTACTTTTACATTATACGTATTAACAACGTTCCCTTATTTATCTACGGTGTGTGCTAATTCATAGAATAGAAATATTCACACAATAAAGTTGTATAAAGTTATAAGAACTGCTTTATTGTGGAAATGAGTAGAAGTTGTAACACAACAACATTTCACTAATTAATTTAAACTTGATTCAAGTGACGTTACTGAAGATAGAGAGATTTAACTTATATACATCCTAAACAAAAAGCTTCCTCTTTTAAAACAGAATTACCTCTGGGCAGAGCTGTCATTCATTCAGAAATTCAATTAGCTTGCTTCTAATACTGATTTGCCTTCACTGGGAGAAAGAAAGCTTAGGTGATTAAAAGAAAAAAAAATCAACAGTTTTGGAATACAGGATTATTTAGACAGCAAAGTAAGGCTTCGGTGGAGTCTACCATTGTTAGGTAATGATTCTTGGCAGTATGAGTGTGCTAAATGCCTGGGAGAAGGTAAGCATGATATGGAAAGAATAAATTAGAAGGAAAAACATTATTCTTCAGGTAACTACTACAACATTTGCAGTGTCTTCAGAAATAGAAATTCCTCTTTCTGCTCCGTCTGCTATATAGTGCTCAGGTTCCAAAACACATTCCAGATACTTAGGCCAGCTATTCTAATAGCTAATTGACTTCATGGCCCAGTTTATATGATTAACTACTACATAACACATTTTTCCTAGTGGAAAACATTTAAAATTTCTAATCAATCCATTAAGAAAGGAATTTGGAAATATAATTCTAAAAAAAAATATAATATACTTTGGAAATATAATCTGCTTCTAATTAGAAGACCATAAGAATAGTGAAAGAGCTAAATCATTAACTCAATTATTATTTAGTTCTGCCCTTTTCCACATAAAAATCAATTCCACTATAAACATGAGCTTCCCTGGTGGCTCAGACGGTAAAGCGTCTGCCTACAATGCGGGAGACAGGGGTTCAATCCCTGGGTCGGGAAGATTTCGTGGAGAAGGAAATGGCAACCCACTCCAGTATTCTTGCCTGGAAAATCCCATGGATGGGAGAACCTGGTAGGCTACAGTCCATGGGGTCACAAAGAGTCGGGCACGACTGAGTGACTTCACTTCACTATAAACATGTCCTAAGCAAACGACAACAGCAACACCTCACACATCTTGAAAATCTCTAATCTGGTTTTCAGTAAAAAATTCTCAATTAAAAATAGAACAACTTACCTTTAAAATCATCTCTTGCTCCTTGCCCGTCCTTCTTGTTCATTTTTATGTCAGAGCAGTTGTTAGAGGCACCTTTAGAGTTTTCAAGGTAAGCCGAGCTTGCTCCTTTCTTGGAGGGATGAGGATCACAGAGTTTTGCATTAATCTTATAAAGCTCGAGGGCTTTAATAGCTGCTGCATTGTTATCCATACGACGAAAAGTTGGACAGGAAGCACAAAACTCATTCGTGCAGGCCTCATTTCCACAGCCCTCAGTTAACTGGTGGTAGTAGCGTTCTATTAGATGTTTTGCAGCTGCTCGCTTCCTGTACCAGACATTCAAACAATAAGCACAGTGATTAGTACAGCTCTCAGGTACAAAGCTCAACAGATCATCAGCAAGGCAAAAGTTAGTCAAGCACTGAAGTAATAAACTTGCATATTAAGATGAAGTATAGAAAATAGAGATGTACTACTTACACAAAACCTTTAACTGGAGAAATATTTGATAGCTATTTCCTAAGACCTATGAATACCAATGTTTGTCAAAATACTGTTTTCATAGAATGTGCTTTCCTTTGGTATGGTGAGTGGAGTTTGTTTGATGTGTTTTAATTGTTTAGCACAACAGCTGAAAAGTTTTGTGGCTAAGAGGTTTAGTATTTTATCACTTTAAAATTAACACTAAGAAAATGAAGAGTCTAAAGTACCATTCCAGCTTTCTTTTATATAATCCCCATTTTGTTTCAACAGTCTGTAAATACTTGATTGATAACAAGATTCATCAACACAGAACTTCTATGTGGAACAAAAAAGTGCCCCTCCTTCACTATATGAAGAATTTTAAAAGATATTTATAAGTAAAATACTCAAAGCTTGTATTATATTGCAAGAAAGTGGCTCAAAACATACTACCCTGAACCCAAAAGGTGTCATTAAACCTTCCTCAATACCATGGTACCATTAATACTATTAATACCTCATTAACACCACACCATGGGAATACTGAATATTTTAAATTCTCTTTAGAGCAAAATCTTATATCCCTCTTACTTTGTGAGCTTAATGTATGTGAATTAATGTTTCATTACTGCTGTTCCAGAAGACCTAGCAAGGTCAGTGAAAGCAAAAGTGTTAGTCCCTTAGTCATGTCGGACTCTTTGCAACTCATAGACTCGTTGCAGGCTGCAGAACCGACCATTGGAAAAGACCCTGATGCTTGGAAAGACTGAAGGCAGGAGGAGAAGGGGACAACAGAGGATGAGATGGTTGGATGGCATCACCAACTCGACAGAGATGAGTTTGAGCAAGCTCCGGGAATTGGTGATGGACAGGGAGGCATGGCATGCTGCCGTCCATGGAGTCACCAAGAGTTGGACCCGACTGGGCAACTGAACTAAACTGAACTGAGACTGTAGCCCACCAGGCTCCTCTGTCCATGGAAGTCTCCAGGCAAGAAAACTGGAGTGGGCTGCCAATTCCTTCTCCAGGGGTTGTTTCCGATCTAGGGATTTAACCCGGGTCTCCTGTATTACAGGCAGACTCTTTACCATTTAAGCCACCCAGGGAAGCCCAGCAAGAATACTGAAGAAGGGGTTATTTCATCAAGTAAGAAGCTGGATTAGATTTCTATCTTTACTGTTTATTCAAATCTTAAGATCTATATACTTCTACTACTATTGATGTTATAAGAAGACCATAACTTTGAGTAGTCTACTGGATTAAAAAAAAATCATAATTCATAGCTATTCCTTTTGGTTCCAAATACACATGTAGGAATAAAAACATCAAATAATCATAACTAGAAAAAATAATTTACCTAATTTAATTCTTAAGATGTTCTTATAATTATATCTCACCAACATGAAGGACTAAATGACAAACAGTATTAGAGTTTACATCTTGTTAATCGTGAGATACATCTTGTTAATCAGGAGAAACAGAACTCACAAGAAGACAAATAAGGGACACATCAGTAAGTTCAATTTTGTCTCAAAAGTAGGACTTTGTCTCTAAACTATCAAGGTAAGTGACAAACAGTAATAAACACATTCAATTCATTCTGCCGCTCTGTTTTTCAGAAGTTCCATGCAAATTTACCACTTACTACATGCAAACAGAGGAAAAAAGAAAAACCCACAAAATGCTCTTAAAAACTGCATGAACATGACTTGAAATATCTTATTATATGCAGTTATAAATAATTCCACTCCTGAAAATTAAAATATATTATTCCAAATATATCACTGTGCAAAATATTAAAGTGACAACATGTAAAGAGAAGTAAAGGATCTGTAAGATTTATGCCACACTTTGCTGCTTCTTCAAAAATGCAATAGCTTTCCCTAGTGAGAATATAAATAAATATGCATTTTCTTTCTGGAAGTAAATTATTAACATGCTGTCTTAAAAGTGAATATGAGGATCAACCATATGAACCAAAGATCCCATTTTTGGTGATATAAGACAGCTTTGCAAAAATATGATGTTTCTATAAAGCCTGGGAAAAAAACTGACATACCATAAAAATAGGAGATTACTAAAAGGAACTGATAACCATCCACACAATGGAATAAATAAAAATTATCAAGATCTGAATTTAGCATAGATCATTAATTGATCTTTTAATTGTTAAAGTCAGTCACAAAGTACTGTCATAATTAGCCATTTTTATTTGAAAGTGTTAACAGTCATTTCTCTGAATGTGATTGGATGGGTTTTTAAAATTATTCTATCATGTTGCTTGTAAGTTATTTTTTCTCTAACAGTACTTATTTAAAATTAATGAATATGAATGGGGAAATGTTAGTGGTTTTAAAACTTCATATATATGATTTGAATGGCTTCCAGGTTTACTAAATTATCAATATGATTTTTTGAAGATTAGTTTCAAAGTTCAAAATACCAAAAATAATTTAGCTACTTTTAATAAGAATGTCAGGTTTTGTCCTTTAAAAAAAAAAAGTCATACACATTAATGCTTTTGAATGCAATGCATAAACAAGTGTGAACACTAAAAACAGAACAAGACTGAGAAATCAGAAAACTGGCTTTAAGTCTCAAAGTAGCTGTACTATCGAGCCTCAGTTTCCAATCTTTAAGGCTCCTTTCAGTTCTAAACCTGTCAGGGAGGTGAGCAAAGCATTTACTGAAAGCAAAGCATTTATATACAAGCTATATAGTACAAGCATTTATTGAATAGCTGGTAACATACTGGACACACTGCTAGGCACTATGACATAGGTTATCTCATCTGAGTTCCATAACTCTGAGGATTATTGTCAGTTTATAGCCAAAAAGGGACACAGAGTCAAATCATGTATCCGAGGTCACATAAACGTAACTGCAGAACTTGGATAAAAACAGGAGTCCAGAGGCCTTCCAGCTTCAGAGTCTAAGTCTACTATACTGTCTTACAGAAGGTGATACATTTCAATTCCAATTCTTAAAAATAGTAGTACTAAAAAACTTTTATGGAAAAAAAATCCCATAAATAGTATGGAACTAAAAAAAGTAAAATGCATTCTGAAAAACCATAATTTGAATCTCATATTTATGGAATATCTGGCATCACACAAGAACACAAGCTTCTTGAGGAACAGGTAGCACTCTATTCAGCAAAGTAAACATACCTATTTTTTGAAGACCTACATGTTAGGCATTTTACAGATACTCTCACTTTGGAAGATAGTAAACCCTGTAAGTTAAAAGCTCACACTCAGGCCAGACTGTCCAAGTTCACATGCTGGCTCTGCCACTTAATAACTATATGACCCTGAATAAGTTTACTTAAACCTCCTGTGTCTCAGTTTCCTCATCTTAAAAATGATGGTATACAGGATTATTGTGGCTGTGAGAGAACTGAATGAGTTACTATATATATATATATAAAGTCCTTAGAATGCTGCATAGCACACAGTAAGCACAATGTGTTAGCCACCGTTACTGTTATAATTGTTACTACCATCCTAAAAGTCCATAATTATGGTCAAAGGAGTTACATAACTAGTCACACATTTTATAAGAGATCTGAACCCAGGTTTGACTCCAAACCTTGGGCCTTTTAATACCATTAAGAATAGATTTAAGAGTAGGCCCCTCTATCTGATCCACTTCTCTGCCCCAAGACTTAGAAATAGCAGCTAGCCTGATGAGACAAGACTGAAAGGTCAAGCCAGAATCTCCATGTTATCAGTGGGATCAAGCATTTTTTCTTCCTTCACTTCACTGACACCTGGAATTACCTGTACACAATTCCGTATCCCCATCTAATTAAGAGCATATAAAAAGGTCTCGACATTGGGAAATGTGTACGCTAATAATGACATTTTGGTAATTAACCTGTACAAGATTAATCCCTATATATTAAAAGTTACCAATTCAAAGATCATGGACCAAATCTGTCACCTCTTTTTTTAAAAGCTCTGTAGGCTAAGAATTGTTCTGAAATTTTAAATGGTTGAGAAAGTCAGTTAAAAAAATAACATCTTGTGACATGTAAAAATTACGGGAAATTCAAATTTTAGCATCCACAAAGTATTACTTAGAACATAACCACGCTCATTCATTTACATGTTGCCTACTGCTGTTTTCACACTAAAGCAGCATAGTTGAGTAGTTTTCAGAGATTGTAGTCTATCCTGCAGAGCCTAAAATAAATACCACATGACAGAAACAATTTCCCAACTCTTAATTTAGAGACTGCCCTCCAGTGATGCTTCCATCCAATCATGTGGCCTCCTCACTCTTTTCAATCAGCAAATTGTGCAATAAAATGTGTAACTCCCTCAAATGTGAAGAAAGAAGGGAGGGAGGAAAGGAAAGGTAAAGAAGGGACAAGGAGAGAGAAAGAGGAGGAAGAAAATGAGAAAACAGGAAAGATATGAAGAAAGGTGCTTTCCCTACTGGTTCCATCTTATGGGTCATTCAAAACCATCCCAAGATGGGTTCTGGCTTACTTTCTATAATTTCCTTACATCTTACTTTTATTCTATGCAAAAAACAAACCAAATACTTTATAACATATTGACTTTTTATAAAAGGTACTTCTTATCAAATCCTGTGAAACCATCTAGTAAGAGTGCTCTCAATGCTCTTGACTCTTAACATTACTTACACATTTAAAACAAGCAGTACTTTCCACTGACTTATTTTATTTCTAAGAATCAGTAAGACAGTCCTACAAGTAAATGTTCTATGGAATAAATCATATGTGGAGGGCAAGTTACTCTAGAAAACTTTGCAGAAATCTTTCTCTAAGAATCTTTCTCTAAGGTTTCACCTTCAGGGAAAGGGATGTCAGTGACTTTGAAATGTATGGGGATAA